GTTAGAGCTTCTTGAGGTTTATCCAGCATGAGAGAAATAAACCAAGTTCTTATATTTGTTCCAGAAAAGATAGAAAATACTAAAAAAAGTGTGTAACAAATACAGGTCTAAATTAAACTTTGCCATTTAAAGAATAAGAATTGAATGATGTATTCTTAGCAGAGAGATGTCTGCATCTCTTAAACATGCTTGAAAAATAACAACTGCACTTTGTTGGATATTAAAACAAGTAATCACATATTTCTCTAGTGAACATTGCACTAAAATGGAGGGAAGGGAAAAGTGAAAGTAAAGGCTCACAGTAGCATTGTCAACTTCCAAAGAAACTTTCCTGATAGAACTGTGCTGTGATACAGAAATGCTCTTGTCCCTGGAGAAAAAGCTTAAGGAAATGACTATGGCATGGTGCTATCTGTTACAATATAGTTACAACAGAACAGTATTAATGAACAAATTAATCTGAATGTGTAATAAAAAGTGAACTCAAACTTGAATAGCTCTGCACTGTACTTAAAATAACTCATTTTGGGCCACTTATTCATTGCAGACAGAACAGATGTCCAGGGATAAGGTTCTGGCAGTGATGTTTAAAACCACCTCACAATTGTTTTTATCTCAAGTCCACTAGTACTCTCACAGCCTCAAATCCTCAGGCATCCCAAGGGACACGAGAGCATGGCCAGAGCTGCAGCTCCCTCCTGCACCCTGTGTGCAGTGTGGAGACCAGCCCTCCAGGGACAGGAACAGCTGAGATGTTCCAGTGAGGAACAGGGAACAGGGTCTGTGTTGGGACCAGCCCTCCAGGGACAGGAACAGCTGAGATGTTCCAGTGAGGAACAGGAGCAGGAGGTGAGGTGAGGTGGTGCAGGAGCAGGGTCTGTGCCGGGACAGGTGACCCAGACAGGGAGCTGACACTGCTGCCTGCCTGAGGGACCATCCTTGGTGAACACACGTCCTTCAGGACACATCTCTCCCAGCCTACCCTGAATACCCACTTCAAAGGAACTGACTCTGTTAGAGGAGCCAGCTGGAGCATGTGTTGGCTTTGTTGGAGCTGCTGTTTGTTTCCCATTTTGGCTGTGCTTCCCCACACTAAAAGCAGCCTTTGATACAAGTGCAGCACTTACTGCACAACTCCTGTTCCTCCTGGCTCACCCCTCTGAGATCCAGCTCTGAGCATCTCCGCCTCTTCTTGTTGTGCTTTTGCTTCCAGTTATTCCAGCTGTTTGTGTGTTCTGTAAATCACCTTTAGCTCCATGCCAACATTGTTTCTCTGTGGGCTCCCCAAAGGTTCAATTATCTGCCCCTTGCTCCTTCCCTTCTTTCTTGTGTAATTTTCAACACTAATTACAAATTCCACACCAAAGATACCCAACTGTCCCTGACTTCAGCACCCTGGTGGCTCTGTACTCCTCCTCCTGACCTCAGCTGTGCTCTGAGCGCAAACAATGACTTCATCTCAACATTCTTCATCAAAATGGCTCAAAGGCAGAAGTGTTTCCAAGAGGAATAGGCAGTTTCTAAAGACACAGCTCCCCATTATTTCTCTTTTTGGCTCCTCAGGAGTTGATTGGGCTCTAAAAGGCATTACTGGTGAAGCAATCCCAGAAAAATCCCCATCAGTGCTGCAGTTGAACATGGCTGTGAGGGAATCAGTGTGGCCCACAGTTCACAGCCTCTCAGCAGTGAAGTGGTGCTGATTTTCTGCGTTGTGCTGCCTTGCTCGTGTTTTACCAGCACAATTCCACTGCCAGCATTTGTATGGCCTGGCATTTGTGACCTCCTTTTGCTGCACACACAGCCATGACTTTGGCTGATGGGATCACCATCCCTTTGCTCTCTACAACTCAGTCTGGGTGGAAACCTCATTCATGATCCTGTCTTTTCACTGCACAGCTCTGGGGTCCTCACTGCCCAGATAAAGTGACACAGAAGTGGCTGTCCTTCCTTTCCAGCTGGCACCAGGACACGTTTTCATGTGAACTTCACCCAGTGCCTCCAGGAGCAGCTCCTGATTGCAGGTCCTGCCCCAGCTGTTGACCTAAATTGCTTTCTACACACCAGAACAATCTCTTGATAACCAGAGCACACACTGGCACTTCCTGGAAAAGCCTTTTCTATACTTTAAGCTGAGAACTTTTCAGAGACTTCACAGGCTTTAGATACTTACCATAACAAAAGATGAATATATGTATTTTATAGTCCATGTTTTCAATCTAGTCTTGCATAATTTCTTCCTTCCCCTGTCTTAAACATAATACTTGGTTCAATATTTTAAGTGACTGTGCTGATCATCCTCACTTTTCAAGAAGTCCCAAAGATGCATCATAGCCCTGTTATCAGAGACATTTCAGAGATGAGCAGCGTTCCCTGCCCAGCCAAGCCAGGACTGAAGAGGAAAAACGTCTGTACTGGATGGTTTAGAAGTGATGCCATACTGAGATAAATGTCTACAGTGAAAGGAAAGCAATCTCTGAATCAACACAGGAGCATTCAGCAAATCCCAGACATGCTTCACCAGGGGAAATCCTGAGCTTTTTATTAAAATCAAACCCATTTCAAGAATGAATCCCTTCATGCCTGTGCAGTTAATAATTGTCTTGCTTTAACACTGAAGCACTTCTGTGTTAAAAGCTCTTCTGGGTTTTCTGAATAAACCCAAATAATCTGTATTTACACATCTGTCCCCAATCCAACAGCATCACAATTCTTAAAATATGCAATTTAGTCAGTGCAAATGAACAGCCAACCCTACTGAGGGCTCTGTTTTTCAAGCTGTATTTCTGGAGCTAACTTGAAGGGCAGCCACTCTACCCCATATTCAAAGATGCCCTTTCTCCAGCAGCTCACCTGGTGCTAAATGGGAAATACCAGGAGCCCACCACACTCTTCTCAAATCCTTCAGCTCACAGCAGAAATGTTTCCTGCCAGGGGGTTCAATATTGGTTACCTCTGATGGCCTGTTTTGGACAGAAAGTCCTTCACTTTCGATGCAAGCTAAGAATCTAAACTTTGCTCTTTTTGTCTGAAACCTTACAAAGACAGCAGTCAAAAGGTATCACTGCAGCTCCCACCACTCACACTTCATACACTGTGTCCAAAAATATTTTGGTGCATAATCCCATTTTTTAAACCTGCATAGTCCACAGATTAAAAATGTGTATATTCCTACAGCTAGACTTGCACATTTAAGGAAAACTCTTTAGGGAGTAAAGGGGGTATTTTCTTACAATTTAAAGCAACCAGAAAATAGGAAAGCAAAATATTGGAGGAAAATTAGAAAGCAAACTCTTAAAATGTCCATAATATACTAATGGCCTATGATACCACTTTGAATGGGGAGAGATAGGACACCTTTATTAGGATTTTGAGCAGGCACAAACACATTCTAGCACATCACATTAAATGTGGTTGTGAGCTTTCATTAAAAGTCTGAACAACATCACTCTGCATGAGTATGAACAGATCTACCAGAACAGAGTCCACAGGCATGTTGCTCCCAGCTAGACTCAGAAATACTATCTGATTATCAAAGAATTCCTGGTCTACATAGAAACATTTCAATTGCAGAAGAGCAGGCTGCCCAGAGAGTCCATCCACAGTGGTAACATGTATGGGTTTCTGAACTGATAATCCTATTTACATAATACATTTACATTTAAATAGAGCCACTGCATACAAGCATATATTATATTACTGTTTAGACCCATTCTAACACCTGTGAGAAGTGCTGGTCTGCCTCAGTGCAGTCACACCAATTCACTTGGGAATCACTGCAGATTGGGATACAGGAAGATCACCGGGGATTTTTTTTAAGTTTTGGTTTTGTTTTACCTTGTGTAACCTTGCTGTGCAGGTTTAGCTGACACAGCACGTCCCTATAATTAAAGCAGCTACATGAAAACTGAAAAACTCCAACAAATACTGCATGTAAATACATCACAGGTTTGAAGCCAGAAGGAACCACTAAATTATTTCCTGTTAGCTCATGCCATTATATTTCATTAAGTTCTAATGGGTCAAACCCAGTAACTTATTAAAACAAGCTGCCTTCTCCAGAGGTGAAATAATGTTTTGATTTGAAGATAGAGACGGTGAATTTGTTATCTCCACACCTAGTTTGTTATAATAAAGGGAAAAAGCACAATCTTCCTGTTAAAAATGTGTGCCTTTTTAAAACTAACTTCAGGCTACTTGTTGCTCAGCATTGTCCTGCTACGACAGAGAGGCCTCTGGGAGGTTTTCAGTCTTCAAGAGACACATATTAATCAGTCCTTTTAATGCAAGACAAAATGAGCTCTTGCACAACCTTTTCTCTTCCTCTGAATCATCTGTGGTTCTCTGCCTTAACCAATATTTCAACATTCCTTCTGAAAAGTAGGCACTCCTTTCTTACTTAAATACAATAAGGTTTCCCCTGCTCCTCATTTTTCTCCCAGTTATGCAAGGGATGTTTTAGTATCTTGGCTCACAGGAAGAACATTTGTCTAGTTCTAACCTTTATTCTAATCTTAGAAGCAGACATTTTGCAAATCTTTCAGATTCTGTGCTCCTACACTCATAACCTGGCTTTAGCTGTATTGAAATGATACAAGTCACACATTACTAACTTCAATTAGCAAAAAAAGCTAATCAATCTTTGGAGTAAACGATATGTTTTGATTTCTACCCAAAAAACTGTAGGAAAAAATTGAGTAATGAAGGTAGTGGAACTTCTCCCAGGAAACCCTTTTGCAGTGGACATTTTAAAGGGTAGCTGTCAGTGGTGGGAAGCACTTGGCTCTTTAAAGCAGCTCTTGGCATGAAGGTCCCCATTTGTTTTGGCAACATTTCACAGGACCACGTGATGTCACACAGAAAGAGCATCTACAATACTCTGCACTTCCTGTGCTTGGAAAAATATCCCAGCTTCCAAATAAAATGCCTTTACAGAGCAACAATACCACAATTTCCCTCCCACCCCCCTCACATAGGAAGTGTCCATAGCCTAGTGACATATTAAGAATCATGTTCAAACTTCACTTTGATTTTGATACACTAGCAGATATATTAGGAATGTTGTCATTTTAGTCTGTCCAGTCTTTCTGAAGTCTAAAGAATATTGGTAAGGAAGACAGGAAATTAAACATTTACATCCTTCTTCCCCCAGTACTTCCTCCCAGTCTTACAAACCTGAATGCCAAAGCTTGAAGTCTTTACCCAGATAAACTTCATGGCTTTCAAGTGAGGAAAATGACATTTCACAGGCAATTTTTTAACTTGGAAGAGTTGAAAATAAACAGGATTCTATAGGTTTGAGACCTTGCTGCTAAGTTCCCATCAGCTGAATTTAAGTAGATGGACCCTGCTGAATGAGTGGCTAAGGCTTTATTATACAGCAATTTTCAGAAGCAGCCTTTTAGGCCCTGTGACAGGATTGATCTCTTACCTTCAAACCTGTAGTATGTTATTTCACAGATGAACTCACTTTAATTAGCTTGATTTCTCTAAGTACCAGCCAGTTAGGAGACAGTGAGACTGGATAATGGATTAAATCCCCTTCCTTACCTGAGCTGTCCATTTCTGAACAGTTCAGTGTTTTCAGCTCAACTGATCAGTGAAGCTTCCTTTAAAAAGCCCCTTGCAAGCTGCAGAGCAGTTGAGCACCCAGGGACAGACTCAGCCACTCCCACTGAAGTCTGTGATCAACTGCCCTGGAGAGCACATACAGAATAAAAGTCACAGTACAGGACCAGAAGGGATAGCAGGCTTGTCACAAAAAGGTTAAGACAACTGAAGTGGGTATGGACATCTTAAGGGCATTTCCCCTCCTGCATTGCTTTAGCTCATGCTATAAAAACAATTCTTCCTTCTCCAAACCTTCACAGCACATAAACATCCATCTTTTCCATACCTACCTGAAACACTGAATGAGGATCTGCACAGCCACTTCCACACCCAGAAGAAATTATCTGCTTTCACACACTAAGTTCTTCCCAAAGGGACAGGAAGTGCTAGTAGCCTCTGTGGTGTATACTTCAGAAACGAGGTAAAAAAAGGTAAAGGAGGAAACAGGCATTGAAATCCCTTCTCCACTACAGATCTGCTCTCAGGCTGCAAGGTGGACAAGATTTGCTGACACTACAGCTTTTGCTACAGCAGTTACAGCTCTCAAGTAACAACTGGGCACCTGCTCTTCCAGTCCAGTTTGTTACAGCTCAGTAGCAGTAACTGCTGCAGCAAAAGCTGAATGATTTCTCTGCATAAAACCATGATCTTGTTTAGAGCTACAAAGACAATAGGGTGGTTAAGGAAGATATGAGACCCCCTTGTTAAGGGTTTCCTCTGTGTGTTAAAGAAACCTTGAGGAAGGGGAAGGAAAGATGAATTTCAGTTGTGTAGTACCTCTCTCCCCACCAAGCATTCAGAACTCATGTAAATGTTGCTCATCCTTGAAGAAGAGTTCTATAAAGGGTTATCTTTTCCCACCATATTAAATCAGTTAGGTTTGTTCCAATTAGGTTAAAACCAAGCAAACTGGAGCCATTTTAAAAGTTATCCTGTCCAGGAGTCAAATGTAAGACATTTTAGTACAGACTTTCTATATGAGAATTTCCAGTTACATCCTGAGGTGCTAAGCATCAAAACAGTAATTATATAAACTATTTTAAAAGCTGCTTCTCACATAGGAAAATGTCAGCCAAAATTCAGATCCTCAAGTAGATCCTTCTATGGTTAATAATTTCATTACAATCATGTATGTGATTTATAATATGCCCCAAATAAAGGCAAAGGACAGTATACACTGATCCCTAGCACAAAGACATAGGCATACACACACTCCTGATGGATCAGTCATCAGGTACTTTTAAAGTCAGTTTTATCAGGTGCCATCTCAGCTCAAACAGCAATATAATCTGGTACACTAGGAATGGCTCTTGTAGACTTATGACATGAACTGCAGCTTTCCTCAACCTTCTGTCAATGGGTGCCAGGAAACAAACGAGCAGGAGCTGTTCTTGCGTGTGACTAGTCAAGCCTAGCAATGTCCTATTCCTAAAATCAGGATGCCAGATAATAATTCAGCTTCAGCAGTGCCGTAGTTCATCTTCTAAGATGTAAATTTTTGTTTTTAAGTCTTTTAGTTCTCCTTGAATTTTACGCGTTAGCCTGTTTCCTTGGCGGACCTCACGTAGAATTGCAAGATCCTGGTCTGGTCCCAAATGCAAAGCCACCTAAAAACAAAGAGAAAAACAGATTAAAAAAAGCAAAGCTGTACAGAATACAATTTAGGGAGTATTATGCTAAGTATATAAGGGAGAGAACTCTAAAGGAGACCCTTTGTAGCCAGCACAGAGGAGGTGTAAGTTAATAGCACTAGGATTATGCACATCACCAACAGAAAGGTGCTCCAGAGCCAAAAATAAAGAACAAAGCTTTCATAACACTGTGTTGCTGTACTATAGTATTGGCAAGGAAGAAATCTTAACAGAAAATAACTAGAAAGGAGCTGACTCCTTTCTAGTTCCTGTATTATTTAGAGACACACAAAAAGGGGCAAGTTAAAGTACTTATCAAGTAACTCATATCTAGTTCTAAGTACCTCGGGAGCTAAGATGACATCCCATCTTTTGCCATGAAAAGTGGAGGTGTTCTAACTGCTGTGGCTGAGCTGCTGCCTCTGAACTGCACAGGACACAGGAGCAGCTCAAGTCCAACGCCTTGACTCAGGCAGTGCCACGTGGCTTGTGCTGAACAAAGGCTGCTGGATAATCAGAATTCCTGATGGCAAGCTGGCCAGGGCTGACATTTCCTGTCACCCTGCAACTGGATAGCATGCCAGCCCAGCACCTTTCAAGGGCACAGCACTGGAAGCTGCTCTAAATTCCCTCTATTCTCTTGACCCATTATGGTTTCTTGTTGTGTCATCATGTAGTTCTTGGCCAAAGATTTTAATATGCAAATGAAGAAGTTTAGTCATCTCTAGTCATTTTGAGCCTCAAGTGATGAGAAGGATTGCATGATCACTCTGGAGACTTCTTTCAAGTATTTTGTTCCTCTGCCCTCTTGTGGTTAACAGTGTTAAGAAATGGAGAATACAATGAGGAGCACACCCACAGATACAAAACATACAAGTCTGAAGTAAAGGCATCATGCACTCTTTCCCCCCTTTCATATACTGCTGTTAGTCCTTAAAGAATAGACTTGAAAAACCTACAGGCCATTATATATATATATATATAAAAAATTGATTATTTTAATCAAAATAAATGCATTAGTCTGCATAAACTCAACTGTGTATCAAAAGAACAGGGAAAGAATGAATCAGTAGCACTGCCAGACTCCTGCAGGAAAGTCTAAGCTATGCCAAGCTTATTATAGATAAATGCCTCAACCTGAACTCCAAGCAACATCAAGGTTGTGCCTTTCCCTCTAAGCTGTTCTGATGTTCATCTGCACATCTGGATGCTACTGCAGAGAACACAGCTTCAGTTTCCAGCCATTGCTTCCGCAGTGATTTTCACAAAGTCACAGATGACATATTAAAGTAATAAACAGAATGTTAACAATACTTAAGAATGATCTTACCTCTTTGGAACAGAACCAAACACTGGGGCTCTCACAAAGAAAACAAAAATCATTCTCTTTGCAGGATAAATTTCTGAATCAAACTACTGCCTTGCAATTTTGAGACAGCTAAGTAAGATACAGGTATCACATATGAAATTTTGAGAGTGGAAACAAAAATACACAGCTAACATATAGCCAAGACATCCTGGTAAGCTTGATGCCTAATTGATAAACAAAGACAAATCTTTTTTTGCTTTGTAAAATACAGAGGAAGCACGTTTTGTCAGACACTGATATTTAAAGGAGCACTTGGAAAAGGAATTATTTCCTTAACCCTAGGGTAAAATCTACATTAAATGCTGAGAATACACCTCTATAGGATAATCCCCCAACAGTCTGCCTCAGAAAAGCTTAGCTGCTACCTTATAAATCTGCTTCTCTACATTTTTCAGTCTCTGCTGCAGCTGTTTAACATCATTCTTGAAGCCCTCTACTTCCATACTCCGACGTTTTTCCAAGGCTTCACATCGCTGAGTCACCAGTTTCAGGCGCTTCATCATCTTCTCTGAGCGATCCTATGGAGATGAAAACTCAGTAGGCTGTACAAAATAAAAGCTGCAAGATCATCTCACAGCCAGCAGGTGATTACAGACTAATTACCTTAAAGAGTTCTTTGCCAGCATCTCTCTCCTCACGGATCCTAGCCACCTCCCCTTCCAGGGAGACACACTGCTCTCTGTACATGTGTGACAGGTGCTTTTCCTGAGTTAGCTTGTCTTGCAGGAACTAGGACAGAGGAGGAAGAGAAAGAATTAACTCAAGACTCTGCTTACAAAACTTCCCCTGCCCTGGACATGCAAGTGTGATAACACTGTCAGTGTGACAGGAAGATAGAAATTAACAACTGGAACTAGAGCTCATAAGTATGTGAGGACAATATTCTAACATCAGTCCCATTACCAAAACCCTTGAATTAAGTTACCAGTTTTGTATGACTGCTCATCATTAACAATAACATTGAACTAAGGCTGTAACTCCCCTTTCACAGCTGCTTGCCCAGTACTGCATTTCAGGGGTAGATGGGAACAACTCCCTGTTACTTGTTTGCTTTCTGACTCCTTATTCCGACCTCCCAGCTTCTCACTGGAAGTGGAAGAGGAATAAAAATTGAGACTGCTAGAGAAGAGCAGGAAGGCATCAACTGAGAGGACCCATTCTCCCCTGAGAGCAGCAAGGAAGATCCACACACAGCATTCCACGACCATTAGCTCAGAGAGGAACAGAGAGCCACGCGCAATCAGTAGGTTAAAAACTGTTGGCCCCGCTTGTCACACGGCTTACAGAATTAATTCTGGGCATGGAAGAAACTGACAGTGACATGCTACCATCAATCCTAGCTATACATTTTACCTGAAATTTGAAAATGATGCTGATTTTGAAGCAGGAGAGGTTTTTTATTTAGATTAGTGGCAACAACAATATAACTTAAGGCACTCCAGTACAACCTTGAAACTGCTCCTAGTGACTGTCTATTGTGCCAAAGTCAAGGTGCTTGCAATTTTCTAGTCAAAAACCGTTAAAGAGCCTCTACAAAAACAAACAAATAAAATTACCTTTACTTCTCTGCTCTGGAGTTTTGAAGCTCCATCATTTTCTTGAATCATCTTCTTCAGCTCTTTCTGCTTCTTTTTTCCTGACTCTGTGCTGAAAACAAGGTGATCCAGATCTTTGGCCAGTTTCCTCAACAGACTATCCTTCTCTGCCATCCATGCTTTCTCATTGGCTCTGGTATTAAACTTGAGCTGCAGAAAGTCACGGGTACTCTCATATAAGAGATTTTGGGTTTTGTGGAGCCTGCAAAAAGGGAACCCAGTGGAGTTAACTTCTTTCCTAGTGCCTACCCTAATTTCATCAGTCATCACTGCAAGTCAGAAAAAGCACAAGAGAAGACAGGTGGTCTAAATGTGAGTTTAACTCTTCTCATCTAATGAAAGAAGTGCTTTTGTGAGAGAGGATTTTTAATAAGCAGATTATTCCACTCATCTTCCACACACACTACCAGATGGCTGCATAATTTGCTTTTCTGCCTGCTGCAGGAAGCAACACACTGCAAGTCATAACATTTCTATTGCTCCCTCTCTTCTCATCTCATGACTACACCCTGGTCATGCTCCCACACTCACTTTTCTGTTATAGCTTTTATCTTGTCCTGGTCCCTCCGATGCCGGACCTCAGCCTCCTCCATCTGAATCCTCCTGTCCTCGAGAAGTGCCTCAACCTGTTCCTTGGTTAATCGTGTCTGTTCTTCCAGCTGAGCTTGCAGAGCCTTCACCTGCACAAACAAACAAAGGCATTACAGAACAAGCCCTCACACCAGCTCTGCTCCTCTCCTTGCAAATCTCTTAAATTCCAAGATTTAGGTCAAAAACTGTACCTGATAACACACCTTTGGCAGTTCTAATTCCTCAAACTTTTGTTTTTTATATTGTTAAAATTTAAATTGCACAATTTAAATCTAGCAAATGCAGTGGAATATGTGGAGACACTTCTGTACCTTTGCTTGAACAAATAATAATAATAATGAAAACAACAACCACCATCTGCTGTACAAGTTTGTCCATTATTTGCTCTTCTTGATTCATCCTTCCTCATACTTTACATACAACTTATGATTCTGCACATTTTATCTTTCATTCTGTCATGCTACCTGTACCTAAACTTTTATGGAAGTCTAGAAAAGGGAACATTTCATTGTATCAGTGCACCTTGTGGGGGCTGCCTAATGCTGTCTCAAACACACTGCTTTTGTCACACTTCCACAAAACACCCAACCCTGCACATCCTCAGTGGGTTTAATGTAAATTCGTATCTGCTATCAAATTATGGGAGTTCACATCAATTACACATTCTATACTTAAGGACAGCATATTTCAGTTGACATTACTGGAACATCTGCTTACATAAAGCTTCCAGAATCAGCTCCTGAATTTTACATTCCCAGCAAAGAAACAGCTAAGTAAGCTGACAAAGTGTGAATCCATAGTAAGATGCAGGGATTTATACAACTGGTACATTTACAACTTATCTAAGCAGACAGCATATTTTTTTATCTTAGTTCTCTGCAAGCCAGCAATTATGTCCACCAGTTAGCTGATGTTTTTACCTGTAGTAGAAGTGTTTCATCATGTTTTTGATATCTCTCAGAACTTCCTGTTTTCTCTCCTTTGGCTGTTAGTTTTGAAGTGCTCTTCTCCGTGCCTACTGAAGAAATTTAAAGAAGTAAATGGTTTTCCAATGTACTTGCAGTACCCTTCCAAGCATGACATATTTGTGTTCTGGTGGGCCTACAGGAACAGTTGAAAGGTTGCCACTGCTACAGTCACAAGGACTTCCAGGAGGGTAAGCTGAAAGAAAAGAATTCTAGAACTTTGGGTGATCACATACCTTCATCTCCTCTATCATATTGCAGTATTTAGGCACCCTTCTAATTTTGTTGGCATATATAGAAAGAAAACTTGACATGTTTTCTTAAAATAAATGATGAATAGGCAGATACCACAGCTGCACAAGCATCAAGGCTTCAATGAGTTTTGAGCTTGTTGGCTAATTTCAGTCAATTTGATGAGACAATAATGAGAAAATGAGTATGTAGGCAGATGGAGGCACACTACTGTCTGCACTAAAGGCAAGCAGAGCCTCACAGCTTGGAGAGGCTGAGGCAAAGGTGCCTGGCCAGCTGGTACCTGCACAGCTCCAGAACAACCACGCGAGGGTCCTGCAGCCTCCTCCTTAGCTGGGCACATCAGTGACACCAGAGCCACATAAGGCTATTTTAAAGGATGTTGAAGGGAAGCCAAGAGTACTGCATGGATACGTTTGGATACATTTAGGAAACTGAATGGAGATTTATCAAAGCATTCACAGACAGGGATTATTTTGGCATACAGGAGACAGACACACAAAAACAGCAAGAGCTGAGCTGCTGTCACTCAGCTTGGTGCAGTACCTGTGCTAGAAACATCATCTCCTTCCTGGGTCTCTGCTGGCCTTTGCAGAACAGTAACCTACAGAAACAAGACATCTGCACTGAGCATCTACTTCCCCAAAGCTGCAATGGTTAAGAACAAATCTTAAAAAGTTAAAATGAGATATACACAAGAACAGCATTACCTTATTACTTCTACCACAATGCAAGGAAGACATTCAAAATCGTAATGCCCATGTTGAAAAGTTTCCTTTATCACAGCTGAGTTTTGCCATTACTGCCTCTACATTTTTCACCAGAAGAAGTGGAAAGTAATTCTGCCTTTGATGGCTTTATTAGGATGAAAATCGGCACCCTCAGCAGGAAAAAGAGCATTTTGGAGTCAGAGAGAAGAGGAAGGTGAAGATGATGCTATTTCCTTCTTTTATACTCCTCCTTGTCTCAGCAAGACAGAGAAGCATGAAGCTTCATTTATCAGCACATTCAAGATACTGAACAAGCCTGAGATAAAAGTTAAATGATAAAAATACTGAAACTCAACTGTTGAACTGAAACCCACCTGAAAAAAAGGAGGCCATGAAAGAGCAGGTTATAGCCCCAATGCTCATCTTCAGGTTGATATAACATAACAGGCCTAATTATAGAGCTACCCTAAACCACGAATTTTAAAGCTTCTGCAAGATTTTTGAAGAGCTTGAGCAGTGCACAGCAACCATGAACAATGCAGCATATTTAAGCCTTTTTCTGCACCTTATTCCATAATAAATCCTGTATTTCCATCATAGTCCCTGTATATCCAAGTCACTCATGACTTTCTTGAGTAGGTTCAACTACGTTGCACATCATATGCACTGCCATTTAAACAATTCAACATTTCTGAAATATGCAACACAATCTTGTCTGGAGGGGATGGTTCTTCAGCAGTCTTCTGCCCAGGAAACTGCTGCAGCAACCTTGACACAGACTTCTTTACTGAAGCTCTAAGAGACAGGCATTCTGAGACAGCTGAGCTTCAAACACTGTGCCTAGTCATTTCCTGCACTTTTTTTCCTTTTTCTAGTGTTCTTGCCATCTTCTTGACAACCATTTGCCAGATGACTTCAGACTCCTATCTGACATTTCAGAGGCTGACCTGGAGGTGTGTTTTGAATGCAGAAGGAGGCTGATCCTACTTTCAGTGTGCTTGTTCTTACTTACCTTTCAGCATTTCTACTAAAACCCACAGACCCCTCTTGCTTTGGGCTCATTTAGCAACCTTTGACTTGTGGGGCAGATCTGGTCTGTGGTCAGACTCTGGGATACAGATACTCATGTTACAATCCAAAGAGGAGAGGTACAGAAAAATGCAACTTGCCTTATGTGGAGGCTCCTTATGAAAGTATGTAACTTCTCCTGCATCTGCTCCCAGTACAGCCAGGAGTTGTTGGATTTTTTTTCTGTCCTCCAATTCCCTGGAATACAAAGGAAGCGGTCAGCAGATTTTTTTAAAATACATCACAACACTGTGACACACTGTCCTTTTAGTTTAACTGTAGATGCTTGCACGTTTTCCAACCTGTTGCAGTTCTTGAGAATACAGTTTTAAAAACAAGCTCCCAAAGACATTCCTAATGCTGCCAATACAAGAACACCACCAATTTTGCTGAGATTGCAGAGCATTTCTCTTTTCAAGTATGACAATACTATGTAGGCAGCTATGAGAGCACATGGTGGAAAGAATTTGCATTAAGAGTTATGAACTACCTAAAATTCTTTCAGGTTGTAAGTGTCCATTGTTATAAAAGCAAACTACACTAAGGGCTGTATCAGATTTTTTTATCACACTCCTGAGAAGTGCCAAAACACACCAACACATGTTTTAAGTTCTTAAATCTTTAATGGAAAAATTAGTGGTGGACAGGAGAGAGAGTGAAGAGGAACAAGTAGCAGAGACAATATGTAATGAATTGATCACAACCCCCATGCCCTGCCCCCCTGTGCTCCTCAGGAGGAGGAGGTAGAAGATTAATGAGTAAAGCTGAGCTGGAAGAAGAGAGGTGTGGGGGAAAGGTGCTTTAAGATCTGGGTTTGATTCTCATTATCCTACTCTGATTTCATTGAATGATTTGGGTTGGGAGGGACCTTAGAGATCCTCTAGTTTCAAGCCCCTTGCCACAGGCAGGGAACCTTCCACTAGACCAGGTTTCTCAGAGACCCATCCAACCTGGCCTTGAACATTTCCAAGGATGAAGCATCCACAGCTTCTCTTGGCAACTTGTTGCAGTACCTCACCATCTTCATAGTGGAGAATTTCCTGCCAACAACTAATCTAAACCCATCGTCTTGCTGTAAAAGGCATCCCCCTCCTGTCCTGTCACTGCATGCTCCTGTCCCTCTCCAGCTCTCTTGTAGGCCCTCTAAGTGTGAGAAGGCTGCTATAAGGGCTCCCTGGAGCCTTCTCAAGGCTGAGCAGCCTCCACTCTCTCAGCCTGTCTTTGTAAGACAGAGGCTCCAGCCCTCTGGTCACTTAATTGTTCATAATTTCCCCCAGTCAAGTCTGTTTTGCCTGTGATGGTAACTGGCAAATGATCTCTGTCCTTATCTTGACCCATGAGTCTTTTCTTGTGTTTTCTCTCCCCTGTCCAGCAGAGGAGGTGAGTGATAAAGAGTCTTGGTGAGCACCTGGTATCCAGCCAAGGTCAACCCCCCAGAGACAGCTTCAATCAAAACTTCACATTCAAATTGTAATAGGCAATTCAAATTTGAACCAATGTTCAATTCCTGCTCTTCCCTCTACTAGCAGAATAAGAGGAATAGTAAGTGGAAACATATTTAGCAGCCCGAGAGATTGCACCGTGCCTCCAACACGGGTATGATTTCCTAGGAGCCCACCCTAAGAAGTGTGGAATGATTGCTGCCCTGAGGACTGCAGGTGTGGCTGAGAACACAGCACAGGAAGCGCTGCTGGCAGTGCCTCAGCTCCCCCCACAAGCCAGCCCACCTGAGTTTCAGCCGGTCATTCTCCGAGTACAGGCGGAGGACTTGCTCCTTCTCCTGGAAGAGGAACACCTGCATATCACTCAAAGCCTTCTGCAGCTCTGCAATCTCCTCTTCCAAGTGGCGGACTTCCCACTGCAACTGGTGCTGAGTGGAGAGAGGGAGGTACTTAAAAACAGAGCACTGGACAAACTTGTGCTCTGAGTCTGGAACTGGCATAGGACAGACAGCTCAAGAGCTATTTTATTTTCCTATAATATTTGCCAGATGAGGGCAGCATTGGAAAAATTATTTTAAAATGTTTCAGCTGAGAGTTCAGAGCCCTGAGAATCACTGTCACTACAGAGCAGTGAAATAAGGCCTCAGCTTGGGTCTCCAGCTTCCAACGGTTGCACTTCCACACTGGCAGAAGGTAAGGAGCAGGTATGGAGAGTCTGACATCAACAAAAACCTGGCAAAGCCCCTGTAACAGCATTCACTTTTGAAATAAATCACTGAAGAATAAACATTAAAATATCTGTCTGGTTTAGCAGTGAGCTAAGTTACTAAGCATCGAGCAGCTAGTTACTGTGTCTCATTTTTTCTACCTGGTGCAGGAAGCTATCAACCATTCTTGTAAGAATTCATTGTAACCATTCATTTTGCAGCCTGCCCCTCTTTTTCCCACACCACAGTAAGATGCACAGTACATACTTCCCCAAGGACTTTCAGACTGCTTCAAGCATGGCCAGTGCTTGAGGAGGCAGCTCAATCACCTCAGAAGTGACTGCTTTATTCCCAAAGAACCATCCACAATTACACAAAGATGACTGCTAGGCAGATTCATGCTATAGCCCATACCAGAGCACTGCATATCTTGCAAATATTCTGCGAGACTTCTTCCTCTTAAAAGGCAAATTTTCAGATTTCTGTTTAACAGCTTATAGCCAAACTTATGAATTCCACTACAGTAAATACAAATTATATCTATAAGTTAAAACCTATTAAGTTTGAACAAAAGAGCATTCCTTCACTACACAAAGCAAGGGAAAGAAGCTGGACCACATGGGAAATGAGCATCTAAACTCGGGCCTTAATATAAAAAAAAAGAAGCAAAATTCCCACTGTGAAAATATAAGGACTTCAGAAGAACATCCTACAGACATGGTTCCATTTGATTTGACACTGGACAGACAGCTAGATTTTAAAATCAACCCCCAAAATCTACTTCTTTCTTCCTAGCTCTACCATGTTACTGGTGAATCCCAAGACTTCTGTGCTGAGTTTTCAACTGAATAAAAATACCAATCTTGTGAATGGATTCCATCATTGCTCAAAAACTCATTTGCTAACCTGCTCATCATAGGTTTGCTTGTATTTCTCCAGCCTTTTTATCAGCTCCTCGTGTTCCTCATCGAAGTCAGCAATCTTCTTGCGGTAATATTCCAGGAGCTCCTGGGAAGGGTTAAGATGGGCCAAGCGCTCACTGACTGATGGGAGAGAAATCAAGTCCTCCTGGCTTGGAGAGTGGGACTCAGCAGATCTGGAAGAGGCACGGGGGGTTGGCAGCCTGGACAAAGAAAATCTCTGATGACATGTAAGCTTCAGACAGGAAAATTAAAGCACTTCCTAAAGTAGATAAAGAGATTTTAAATTTTTACACAGGTTCAGTTTAAAACACACATTAGCTTGACTGCTCTCTGGGCATTCACAGGAGACCATGACATTTAGAAGAACCAAGAACTTTGAGAAAAAGCAGCTTGCAGGTGTATTGTGCAGGGGAGGAGGGTCCAACCGATGGAAAACATAAAAGAAATGTTATGGAAGCAAAGCCTTATACATTATTTGGGGAGCATGACTATGAAAAGAGGAGAAAAATAATAGATGATAATAATAATAATAATAGAGCAGAAGGTCAGAACTCAGGGGATAAAAAGCCCATTGCTGTTCAATTAGAAGCAGCAACCACCATGAAATAAACAGGAAAACAATCTGTGACAGTCGCTATCTGACACCCAGAGAGAAAACCACTTTCTGAACACAGACCATCAAATAAAGATAATTCAGGCTAGCTGATGCACCAGCTACTGTACTTTAAGGTGTAGATGTAGGAATCGATGTGCTTTCCTTTCTGGTGTACTTGATGCTCTCATCCACATAGCTTGTCCACTCTCAAGACTGAAATACAAACTGCCAAATTCTTGAATCTTATGTTCAAGTGCTACGTGGAAAGCAAATCAATGTTATATAAATTGCATCAAGGATATGTATAATTACATACTGCATTTTTCCTCAAAACAGTATCTAGCTCATTTAAACATTTAATCTCTTCAAACAATCACCAAATTTGCAAATAGAGCTGCAGAGTTAAAAAAAAAAATCCAAAACCTTAGGAAGTGTTCATTATTTATACTGGTATAACAAACTTTTTTTTGTACATGATACTATAAATAACAGGAGCTATGAAGTCTCTTGACTAGAGGCTTGACTAGGGTTGCTTAGTGAAAACACAGTTCAGAATGTGGTCCTGAAGAATCAGGAATTCTGATGAGAAAGTGGTTTGGTAGGTGACACTGAGGCAATGGTGACCTTTATGGAGCCACTCACAAAAGCTGCTTGAATCAGAATCCCAGTGGACATCCAGGAAAACTCCGGGCACCATAGGAAAGCATTAAAAACGCAAAAGTGGAAGTATTGCTTGCAGGAGCTTGCTGCAGGACCAGAAACGCCTCAAACAGTACACTTAGAGTAATAACACTGTAAGGAAAGAGGCCACCAGGCACGAGGTGAGAGCTTTGCTGCGGAGCTGCAGAGCAGCAGAAAGGGAAAGATGGAAGAACAAGGAGGCGCAGCAGGCACAGGAGCAGACCAAAAGGTGCCCTACGGCAAAGGGCTGTAGCAGGCAGTAAGGAAAGGGCTCCGGGAGCCGCGCTGTCCCGGCAGGAGCAGGCCCACCACCCGCTACCTTGCGCAGCGCGGAGCCCCCGCCGTGCAGTCCACCGCGCTCATCGCGCCCCTGCGGAGCGCCAGGGTGTCCGTGGGCGGGGGACGGCGGCTTCGGGCACCTGGGCAGGCGGGCGGAGGGAGGCGCCCGGCGGGATCCCCGCTGGAAAAGCCCCGGGATAGAGGCCCCGGGATGGGGCTCCCGCCGCCGCCTGCTCACGGCCCCAACGGCCAAACAACCGCCACCCTGCGCCCGCCGCGGCTTAAACGGCGCCCCGCCCCGCCCCCGCCGCCTCCTCCAATCACAGACAGGCTTTCATGCGGCGCCGTCTCCTCGCGCCAATCAGCGCTCGCGACACGGGCGGCAGCGGCTCGGCGCGTGCGCGTCTGGGAGTTGTAGTCGCGGGGCGGGCGGAGGGCTCTCGGCGCGTGCGCGGCCGGGCCGCAGGGAGGAGCGCGGGGCCTGCGCCCACCGAGCCCGCTGGTGTGAGGGCAAAATAAAAATCACCTTTATCCTCAGCAGCGAAACACGCCCCTTTTCCTTTGTAAATAATCTGGCATTCGGAAGCAGACAGAAGTTACTGGCTCAAATTCTGGCTGAATTGAATGTGTTCTTTAGGTTATCCCGACGCCTTTTAGCCTCATCCTCCTCACGTATTCCCAGTAGTACCTGTTAGCAGCGCTGCCATTTATGCATCAAACGATTTCCTAATTTATTAAGTGTGCTGGAGAAAAAACAAATTCCTCAGTAATAAGCCAGGGTTCTTTCTTCCTTAACACTTTGTTTAAAGACATGATCTTTCTGTATGACAAGAAAGAAAAAGGCTTACTTAAAAAAGCATGAGGCTCTCCCCCATCACATTTTTCAGCTTCCTTGTGAGGGGAAGAGGCAGGCATTTATCTCTTTTTGGTGACAGTGACAGGAGCCGAGGGAATGGCCCGGAGCTGGGCCAGGGCAGGTTTGGCTTGGGGAGCAGGAAAAGGTTTTTCCCCCAGAGGGTGTTTTGGGAACAGCTCCCCAGGGCAGCGGGCACAGCCCCAGCCTGCCAGCGCTCCCGGGTACAGCGTGGGACTCTTGGGGATGGTGCTGTGCAGGGCCAGGCGCTGGGCTCGGTGATCCTTGCGGCTCCGTGCCCCGCTCTGCCGCTTCCATTCGGTACCGACCGGCGGCTCCTGAGGGCACGGACGGGGCGGGGCCTCCGGCGGCGCTCCTGACGTCCGGCACAGACAATGGGCGACGCGGCCCCGCGGAACCGGAAGTGAAAGGCATGCCTTTCGTCGCACATTCCTCCGCGGCGGAAGTGGCCGCGGCCCCGCCCTCGCCGGTCCCCGGTTCCTCCTGCCCCTCGCAGAGCTCTGAGGGGCGGCGAGCGGGGCGGGTTTGAGCTGGAGTCTGTGGCGGAGGCGTCATCGGGAGCGGCGAGAGCGGAAACCACCTCGCCAGAAGAAGCGTGGCGGCGGGACTATTTTTTGGCTCGGAAGGCAACTCGCGAAAACTTCCGGGGAGGGCTCAGCCTACGCGTCACTTCCGGCGGGCCGGGCCGCGAGGAGCGGGGCTCTGGCGGGGGGAGCGGTCCCGGCCGGGACAGCGACAGCGGCGCTCGGCAGCGCGTCCCGTCACCCCGCCCGGCAGCGCCGCCGGGGGATGCGCCTCGGCCCCCGGCCCAGCCCCTGAGCCCCCCGGTCCCCCGCTCCGCCCTGCGCTCCCGGCGGCGGCGGCGTCCCCCTCCCCCTGCGGCTATGGCGGGGGGCGGTGGGTCGCGCTACGCGGCCGAGTTCGTGCCGCCGCCCGAGTGCCCCGTGTTCGAGCCGAGCTGGGAGGAGTTCAGCGACCCGCTCGGCTTCATCGGCCGCATCCGCGGCCTGGCCGAGAAAACCGGCATCTGCAAGATCCGGCCCCCCAAGGTACCGCCCGCCTTGGGGGCTGCGCCCGCGGGGTCCCCGGGGAGCGCCGGCCGCTCCGGGCTCTCGGTGGCCCAGCGGAGGACGGGAGCGGCCGGGCAGGCCCTTCCCCCGCGCTCCGTTCTCGCTCGCGGTTTCGTGTGTCGCTTTCCATAGGCCGCGGTGTCCGTGCCAGGGACGCCGAGGAACCTGTGGAGTCTTTGCCCTCCGAGCGGGGCTTTGTAGCGGCTGCTTCGGAGCAGCCGGGAAGCCAGTAGTGCTTGGCTTCCGAGCCCGGGACTTAACGCTATTTTCGCTTCCAAAACGCCAGCAGTGGACTTGAGAAAGCTGGGAAGGCTCTGTAGGTGAAATCGAACGCTTGCTCCGGGCGGGGGAAGAGGGAGAAAGAAGGGTATTCGTTCGTAATGGACCATTATTTATACACGTAGTTTTCAGGCTGTTAGGAGGAGAACGGCCAAGCTGTTGGTGTACGGGCATTGCGTTTGGCACAGCTCATCGGGAGGCAGCGCCTTCATCTCCCCGGTCCTTCCCTGAGGTCACCTGTCTGGCAAGGCGGGTCATCGCAGGGAGAGCATCGGGCAGCTGGGAAAAAGGCACTTGGGTCGCTAAATTATTAAAGTGCAAATAAACTCCAAACGCAGCCGTTAATAAGAGACTTGAAAACAGTGAGAGAGGTAAAAACCTGAAAGGAAAGCGTGTAACTGAGAACAGTGTGGAGATGGGGGTTGCTGATTGGATTTCATGGTTCTTTCTCTCCTGACCTGTTTTGGTTCCCGGAATGTGTGTAGCTGGTTTAACGACATGGTGAAAACTTGACCTCCAAGGGGCTGCCCTTTCTAAAATAAGCTGCATAGCTCAGGTTGAGAGGCCACAAGGAACGGATCCAGATCCTGTTCATGGAGGATAACTGGAACCTTCCTGGCCGTTGGATGCATTTGTGTTTGTCCAGGACTGCTGAGCTGTTTGCCTTGCGGGGTTTCACAGGATGCACGCCTTGGGTTGATTTGCAACCTGCAGTAATTGCTAAATCGGACGTTTCATACTAACCTGACTGATTTATTGCTCTCTTCTGTTGTTAGGAGTTGTAAATATTTAAGGTTGTGCTGGGGGCCTTTATATGCTGCAGCAGAGCAAATAATAATAGTTTTGTGTGGCTTGTCCACCTGTAACGGCGTGTCCTTCCTCTGGTGCAGCTGCTGCCAGGTAGACAGCCTGCTGTAACTGCAGCTTTGGTAAAAAGTGCTAAAAAGCTGAATTCCTTGTTTTGAATCGTAGCACAGTTTTGAGAGATGGGGCTGGGAGGCACTTGGGGTTGCACCCACCCCTGGCAGTGCTGAGAAAGTCTTTGTTTAAGGCTCTGCTTCTGTTGAAGAGTTGGGCTCCTGACTGGTGGTCCTGTCTTTATTGAAATGACTGTGAACAAACAGAAAAACGTTAGCTGTGTTATAATATGCCTGATTTGGTCTTAGCTGCTGTTGACACTGAGGATTTTTCTGTGTGCAAGATATATGGATTCTTTTTTTAAAGTAAATAAATAAGCCACCAGCCACAGAGTGTATCTCATGTTTAAGCTTAGCGTGAGGTAATGCATACTGAGATGCTTTGAACCTTGTTTTCTATGACATTTATGAATCTGTGAGGATCTTTCTTCAAACTAAAATATGGTGGGAGGAACATTGTTGTATAAGCGCAAAAATGTCTTAAAATTGGAAAATGATATCACCAGTTGTTCTGGGAAACTAATTTACTATTGGAAGCTTGTTTACTCAGGCATTATTAGGGTGTTTGGTTTTGTGCATTTTTCAGAGAAGATTCTGGAAACAATAAAATGTCTTTCTGTCTCTGTTTAGGACTGGCAGCCTCCATTTGCATGTGAAGTACAAAGTTTTCGATTCACTCCACGAATTCAGCGCCTGAATGAGCTGGAGGTGAGCTTTTCCACTGTTGATATAATTTTGTGTTTGCACTGAAAGCAAGAGCTAGGTCTCCCTGCTTGAGATTTGCATCTTGGCAGGTTTCTGGACGGGGGGCACTTTAGAAGCCCATAGACCACATCAATGTTTATACTTGGCCGTGGCAGAGTTTGTATAAAATAATTCTCAGTGGCTTTGAGAAAAATCTGGTTTTTATTTTATTACCCAAAATAGCCACAGGAGTTTTTCACATTCAGCTGGAAGTGTCTAAAATGAATTCCAAATATCATGTGTGTAGTAAGAGCAGCCACTGTCTAGCCTTCAGAGCTTCACAGGCATGATTTTTTTCCTCTTAAAATATTTACTGCTGCTCTGATGTCTCTGGTTACCTCATGCTGTTGTGATAATGCCTTTAAAGCCTTAAAATGATTTTTTATAGGCTTATTATAGCTGGTTAATTTTATGATTTAAAAACTTATGTGAGCTCTCTTGAAAGCAGTGTGACCTCCATTCTGTCCCGGTTTTTCATTTTCTCTACAACGTTTCTCAAAGCCTTGCTTTGTTCACATACCAAAATGTCATTTGGCTTGTAAATGGGTCTCCTTATGGAAAGTGATTTGAGTACTCCAGAATTACCCCAGGGACGAGGTCCTTTGTGTGGTTAAAGCATATATATAAAAATCTGTTTGTAATTCCCCTCCTCCCCACCAGTGTATATTTTAATAATTGTTCCTGTGTTTCTCCCTGGGATGCTGATTATTTCATAAGCATGCATTTTGCTATCAGACCAAGAAATTAATTTGGTGGGAATTTAATTTAAATGGTCTTAAATGCAGAGAGAAAAGCATATATAATTTTATTTTTGTAAAGATTCTTCTTTTTAATAGCGTTTCTATTCCTAAGTTTTTTTAACCTGACAAAGAAATACCTCCCCTGCCAGGTTGGGTGTTGAAAATGGAAACAGTATAAAAACTTACCTTGTTTTCTCTCAGGACTGTAAGGCTTTGTCCCATTTGGTCTTGAATGTACGTGATTGTCTACCTTTACTGATTCCAGGCAATGACAAGAGTGAAACTGGACTTCTTGGATCAGTTAGCAAAATTTTGGGAACTCCAAGGATCAAATTTAAAAATCCCTGTGGTTGAGAGAAAAATACTGGATCTCTATGGTCTGAGCAAGGTAAGGATTTGTAGGCCTTAGGCAGACAGGGAATTCAGTTTTCATTCGAGCTCAAGAAGCCAAGCAACAGGAAGTGCTTGTGCTGCAGCGCTAATCTCATGAATCCGGAGATTAAATAAGTGGGAAAAATACAGTGAAGAAACATTTCTAATTTAAATGTTTATGGGCAAACATGTCTCAGTGTAATTAAATCAGTTACCTTTGGTTGGATTCCGTACAGCAGGTATTTATTACCTTGTATAGCTTGAATGTCCTGATGTCAGCTGGGCACTTGATTTTCAGTTCTCCATTTTTACATGTGGTGGAGCTGCAGGAGTTTGAGGTGTTCTTTGGGCAGGCAGCAGTATGCTTGTGTGCAGTTCAGCTCTGATCAACAGTTCTGTAATGAGTTGTTGCAATTTCTGCTTCCTCTCTTCCAACAGAGGTTTTTATAAACACCTATCTTTGAAAATTTATAATGTTGGCTTCAGGAATACTTACTTTAATTTCCAAAACAAACCTGGCTTAAGGCTGACTAGAAATGAATATTTCTATAGTTATGTTTGGTGAACACACCAATCTTCTTTCAAAGTTTATGCACAAATCTCTGTTGGAATTTGGCTTTGCACTGGGAAAATAGATGCACCATTATAAACTTAGCTGCCAATAAATATAAATAGGTAGATTTCTTCTTGAAGGGAAAAGACTGAAGTTCTAGTAGTTCTAGTGCTTCTAGGTTAGAGCATCAGTTTCCATTCCCCATCAAGATATATTTGTCTTAATAAGTAAAGATGTAAAGACCTGAGTATATTTTAGTTTTAAAGAAAGTCAAGCATTTTGGAGAGTCTGGAAGGGCTGATAAAATGTAGAAAAAAGCTGATAAAATGGTTTTCAGTTTGTTTTGTTTTGAGGTTTTTTTGTGTCTGTGGTGGCTTATTGGGATATGCAGGATATCAGGGGGGTACTGGAAAATGTCTGGGTCACTGTAATGAGCTGGAACATTTCAGTTGGCTGTAGATTTGCAGCTCTGAGTTGATTTGGTTCATTGCTGCCTTCTTTAGCCATTGTTCACACATAGATAATTTTAGAAAACAAGTTTTCCTGGAAATTTTAAAGATAAGTTGAAATTTAGAAATGGTTTCACTTTAAAAGGGTTTTCTAGAACTTTTCTGTAAATATGAGGAAAAATTATCATCAATGGTATTATTGTTCTATTTAAGTGTAACTCTTTGTGACTATAGGAGAAACCAGAATTAACAAATTTACTTGTCACTGTCACAGTTAGACTTCTCAGTTTACCTCAGCCTCACCAGCAAGCCATGAATTTCACTCCAGTAGCAAAATGGTTTTGCCTTGAGGTTTCTAGCAGTGTGTGAAACATTAGGTTTGAAATTTAGTCCTCGTGTGTAAATAAAAGCAATGCAAAACTACACTGCTGTAAAAATGATATTAGTCTTACAATGATATAAACAGAGTTATAGTCCATTTGTGTTTTAAGTTGCTTGGCAGTGAGACTGGAAAAGGAATGGAGGCAGTGGAAATGTGGCCTGTGTGTTGGAGGAAGCAACTCATATGCAGTTGGGATCATTGCTTGCAGGCAAATGGTCTTGTTTTTAATTCTATGTACGTATTGATGTTAGCAGTGATAGTTCTGTATTTGAATTACTGGTCTCAAACCAACTGAAGTCACGTGTAATAACTGGACTGAGTTGGAAGGTAAATTCACATTTCCCTCTTTTTATAGGAGTCTCTCTTCCCATCAGGGTTTTGTGAGTTCTGAGGTCCAACACTTCCTTCTGCCTGGGCTCTGTTAGAATGGGCTTTGTTGCTGGCCAGACTTGTGTTTTACAGCAGAGTACAAGTCTGGTGAGAGTTAACTTTTCAGTTTGTTCTTATGGTAGGTTTTGTGTTTTTTCCAGCACATCGTAAACCCTGACTGTTGGACTCCTCCTGTCCAGGACAGTATGTAATTTACATTTGCTAGTAAATTAAAAATCACGTTAAATGTGTGAAGCCATAAGAATAAGCAAGTGCTTTGTTATTTCAGGACTAGTTCTTCAGGAAATGAAAGCTAATTTCAGGATTCTGTCACTTCTCACAGAGCCTTTTAACATTTGGTTGGTTTAATTGATTCTTGCTTCACGCGAGCTGCTGAGAGCAGCTCTAAACCCTTAACTTACTATTTATGCATTTCAGATTGTTGCCAACAAAGGAGGCTTTGAAGTAGTGACCAAAGAGAAGAAATGGTCTAAAGTGGCGAGTCGGCTTGGCTACCTGCCAGGAAAAGGCACGGGGTCGTTGCTCAAGTCTCACTATGAACGGATCCTGTATCCCTACGAGCTCTTCCAGTCCGGGGTCAGCCTCATGGTGAGCCACTCGCCCTTCACGCTGTGGAGAGGGGACTCAAAAGGCACACTGAGGGCTGGCTTACTCCATGTCAAACTGGGACCTGGGGTCAGTGCTGCTGGAAGCTCCAGCTGTGCCAACAAAGCTAGAACCACCCTCGTAGTTATCTGTGACAGAGCAGTGCTGGCAGTTGGGACCTTGTGTAGTTCTTCTCTGGTATTTCTTTATAGGACTGAAGACAACCGTGTTGGGAAGGAAAACAAGGCAAAAGATGATATGCTTAATTTGAAATGTTTATTTTTCTCTTGATAGCCTGGTAGCTGAGATTCAGTTTTCTTATTTGAAGGGTGAATGAATTAACTGGCCTCTTTTCCAAATGGTGTGTGTAATGCTGTGTGACTGCACTCATCCTGTTTCTTAGCAAACAGAATGATTCACAGGCTATGGAATGATTAGCACTGCCTGCCCAACACAATGTCCTGTGCTCTGCTCCTCTAGGGCATCCAAAAGCCTAACTTGGATCTAAAGGAAAAAGTGGAGGCTGAGGACCTCAGCTCAGATGGCCAGGCTTCCCCAAAGCAGGCTTCGAGGATGAACGTTATGCTGAAGAGAACCAGGCGTGTCAAATCCCAGGTATTCCTGTTCATCAGCACTTACAGACAGAGAACACTTACTTCTCCCACCAGTGTCCCTTTGGCTATGGGAGCCTGCTCAGAAACACCATGGGAAGCAGTCTTCATTTAACTAAAACCCAGAGAAGTTTGTCGCTCTGAGACCTGCTTTGATACAGCAGATGCACTGTTTGTGCCAAAACCTCTAAAAGTTGTTTTTTCTTTACTGACAAGCAGCCAAAGTACCTTGATAATGACTGTATCTATGAGAACAGACAGAAAGCTGTTAGAAAGTTGATGTTAAAGCTTCTGCTTTAAGTGCAAAGTTCCAGAACTTTTAAAAACCTTTTCTAAATGTGCCTCTTAATGACATAAATACAAATACACGTAGGTAATGGTTAATTGTGGAATTGCATGTGGGACTAACTGTCTCAAGCTGGGCAGGCAGTTCTAAAGAACTGAAACAGATGTATGAGGAGATGATCAGTGATGGCTGCAGCTGTATAGGAGTTCTACAGTTTGTCTGCTGAAAAGCAGTTTCCTTCCCTCTGAATTACTGCTGTTACAGGAATTTCTGGTATTCTAGTAGGTGATATTAAATGCTGGGAGGTACCCCGGAGAAAATCTGAATTCAGACTGAATCACCACCATTTAAAATGCTGTCTTATTAGAAATAATTGTGGGGTATTGCCCTGATGGCTCTGTTGCACTGTTTAAATCAGGCCTTCCCCTTTTGACAGAGATACTCCTTGCAGGCAGCATCCTGAGGCTTTTCACACGAAGTCTGCTGGCTCCCTGCTGGCTCATCAGCAGAGTGTGGGCGAAAGCTGGATTTATATGCAACCAACTTCCTACTTGCTTCATGCCATTCTAGACTCAGCTCCAGCACCACAAAGTTTTTTCCAAATGCTCTTTAACTGTTTTGGTTTTTTTTTCATAATACACCTTTCTTGTCACCAGGGTATTTGAGTATCCTTTATACATTTTCACCTTCTTCTCTGATGATTTAGACTGAATTGTCCTTTTAAGTGTGTCTTCTCAGCCTGCTAAAGCTGACTTGCAGTTATTTATTACAGCCACATAGCAGTGCATCACACAAGCAGTCCCAGGCTTCTTGATCTTTCCAGATCTCTCAAACAAGGTATTGGTAGGGAGCTGTCCAGAAAATCTGAGAGTGCTGCATGAACTTCAGCAGTCACTTGCTATGTGGAATTCTTCTTTGGACTGGAATGGATCTTGTGGCAAAATGCCAGTATGTCCGTTTTCTTGCACGTGGTGTAAAAGTATCACTGTTTTATTAAGGTCCTGTGGGATCTTTTTTCCTGCTGATTTCAGTAGAGTGATGGTACTTGTCATTTCTCCATGTTGGAAAGATGATTTCTTTGGTGATCCTGGCACTGTAAAGCTGTTTTTCTTTGTTTGAAGGGCCTGCAATTCAGAAATAAGAGATAGTTTTCTTTAGATCACCTGCTATACATATATATATATATATATATATATATATATGTATGTGCGTGTATATATATATATTTATATATATTTATATTTAAATGCCTTTTATTCGGCTTGTAGCCAAGTTACCTTTAAGCATTGCAGTTATTAAAATGGCTGAAGTGATTTCTTGAATACAAGAAAAACTCCTGCTATTGCACAGACAGGAGAAGTAGGTTTTGGCTGTGTTTGTTGGAAGCTGTGTACAACTATCTTAAGTCATCCCTGGAGCAGCATTTAGAGGCAGATTTTTCCTCAAGCAGCCAGAAATGATAGCAGTGTAAATAAATATCTGAGAACATGGAGACATTGTTCCAGATTTTAGTGCACCTTTTTATTTCAGACAGGACTCTGTTCATTGTCTAAAAGCATAGCTGAATTTGGACCAGAGGTTGTCTAAACAATCTTAGAAGAGCAGGTAATTTGCAAGTAATGTAAAAAGCTGTAAAAAAATGTTATTCTGCTCTAGCTGAAACGTCTGAGTGATTTGTGTGATTATTATGCCAGGTACACAAGGCCTGGTTAGTGAGCATGGATAATTCCACAGACCTCTGCAGCTCTGGAGATCTTTTCCAAGTGCTAGAAATAGTTTCCAAAGATCCTCTGCATCTTCTTGCAGATAACTTACCTTAGAATGGGCAATGAATAAGAAAGTATAAATATAGTAATTAGCAATTACTGAAATAGAGAAACATCCTTAGCAGTAGAAAGGGGTGAGAGATTTTGAAAAAGCAAATATCAGGATTTTTGGAATAGGTGAAAAATGAAAGAAGATGGGGAATGGGTGTTCCCCTCTGTGAAGAGTGGCTGTAGAATCTTTGGATACTGTAAACAAATGTCAGTTGAAAACATTGCATAGGAAGGGAAGAATTAGATGCTGAGAGATTCTGTTCAGAAAATAAACTTAATGCTTTATTCTCTCTTTTCTCCAAAGAAAGGTGTCACAAATAAAAGCTGCAGGAAGGCACTGAGTTCCTAAAGGCTTGTAAAGAAAATTACAATATAAAGTAAATTAATTCAGTTTAGGAAAAGAGAATATCCTTAAGGAAAGCTTAAATTTAGGAGAATACTTTCTTTGAAAAGGGTAGTGTATCTTCATAAATGGTCTGTTAGGGTGTATTTTAGCTGACAAGGGATTTGTCTAATGAGGTTATGTCATGGTAATTTCTGATAAAGAATTGCAGTACTGGAACAAAAAGTGCTGTCTTCTCAAGGGTATTAACTTAATGTCCAGAGAATTTCCTTGAAAACAATTCTAAGTAGTATATCTGCTTTCAGGTATCTATGATTGCAGAATAACAATAAAATAAGCTTCAGGTTTTTTTCAGTTGAAAGATTTCTTTCCATGGGAACAACTGTGAAACAAAATAGTGGAACAAAAGAGCTGTGGGAGATGCTGACAAATGCCCCAAACGTGTACATTTTTTGATTATTGGTTGTAACCATTGTAGTCTTGTGCACTGGGGGTGGAGGAGTGGGCATGCAAATGTGTCAGAATTGATGAGGGGTGAGACAAGCGAATCATGAGTGAATCAGTCCAGCTGGATCGTGTTGTTAGCCTTGGCCCATATGCAGGAAAAGCCCTTGGGCTGTACTTTGAGTTGAGAAGGTGAAAGACACAGTCTGTATCCTTCAGGACAAAGAGGAGATAAGAGTAGAATCATAGCTTAATCAAGTTTGTTTCACTTGTGTAGAGGAGGTAGAATGCAGAAGTGAGCTGGAGTTTTGTGTTGTTAGCAGTGAGAAAATGGCAAGGAATGCACGACTGCTGCTGCTGCTTCCATGCACTCCCTGTTCTGAGTTTGGCTTTTCCTAGAGTCTTAAAGGACACAGCAGAAAAAATGCTCAGCGGGGCTTCTGAATACTTCTGGTATTTACACCTTTAAGTATCAATATCCTGTCAGTGTTTACACAGGAATCTGATTTTTAAAAACATTCATCTTCCAATATGCAGACTGTTCTTTTTCAAAACTCTGTAGCTCCACCTGTGCATGAATAAGGTTTAGTGGTATCCAGGTAAATCTGAGCAGTGGAGTTATGAAAATATATTCAGGTAATGTGTTCTTAAACTAGTTTTAAGTTTTAAGCTCTAAAACTTTGTTGCTGCATGTTAATGATTTACTTTTAGTAAATGTGATAAAATCGTTTTTTATCTCCCATTGAGAAAACTGTCTTTGGTCACAATACTAGGAGAAACTGAGGAGATTGCTGTTGAAGTGATGTCTGTGCTAAAATATGTGGGTTGATTCTGTCAGGTTCTATTAGCTGAGAGAATGGTTGAGCTGTTAATGAATTTCAAATGGAAAATGAGGGACTCTGGGTGTGTTTCCTTATGGCTTTTTAGCCAAAAAGTGTGGAATTGGTGAGGAAAAATTTGCACAGTTGCACAGTGGGCTTACAAAGTTGGTCACATATAAAGTGAAAATAATTTAATAGCAGCATATAAATGTTGAAAATTAGAGTATCAGCAGTAATTAGGTTGGAAAATGCCTGTTAGCACAATGCATACCCAGTTCAGTGGGAACAGGGACTGTAAATATCGTTAAAAATTCCTTAGAGTAATAATGCATAGGAAACTATATCTTCTGGAAGCAAGAAAAACAACTGATTAAGGCAGAAAAATTATCTTTTTTTAATGTTTGTTGCAAATGTGTTAGAACTTATGTTAAACACTATTTTGAATAAATTTTTGGGTTTTTTTCTTTAATAATTTATTAAAAACTTTGAAGGCTTGTCACCCCAAGGGACAGGCATGAGATATCAGGCCATAACTTTGAAAAATAACAGATGAAGTATCATCAGGAAGTTAACTGAAGAATAACTTCTTTAAAATTACATGCCCACCTTCAAAGCTGATAAGTTTGCTGAGATTTTTTAAGATCAGTGAATTTCAGGAGGAGGTTTTTGAACAGTGAGAATTTAGTGGCCTTCTTCTATACCACATCAGAGAGATTTTTCAAATTCTAAGGAGGCTGCATAAAGAAAAATGCCAAGGTGATTGTTTTACAGATAAAACCAGAATATTTTCTTATTTTTCTTCTTGTTAGATTAGAGGCAGTGATGGGAGAAAAGGAGGTAGGTCAGTAATGGGAAACAGGAAGAAGTTCATTTAAGCAGAACACTTCAGGAAAGATCGCTGGCAGGGGCATGGAGCTGTCACCAAATGGGTCTTTTTACTTCTGATTTTGAGCTTGCAACATGAGTAGCTGTGATCTGAGTTGTACTCACAACATTTCATCACAAGTAAGCCCAGAAGCAGCCAAGCTGAAGGAAGTTGGTTGGAACTCATTAGTGTCGTGGGGATGTTTCTAGTCAAGGAGAAGCTAAGGAAATACTGTTGGAACTGCATTAAAATCCAGGCACTTGACTGAATCGTAGTGATTTTGGAAAAAGTTGTTCTGGCATTCTTCTTATTCTTTTGCAAAAAGTCAAACCTAATTCTTTTATTTGGTGTGGAGGTGACTTATTGTAGTTGATCTGGAATATTATATGAGAAATAATTTGGAAATTTGGGACAAAAATTATGTCTCATACTCCATTTGCATATGTTCATTGCCTTTAGGAGCAGAAAATCATACATTTTCAGGCCTGCTTCTTTCCACGAGCATGTATTCTGGGAGAGTGGAATAGCAACAAATTGTGAAGAAAGCTGGAGGGGAAATATTGGTGGTTTGTTCTGATGTGGTCTTGTTTTTATTTTTAGGCAGAGGCAGGAGAAATGAGTAGAAACACTGAACTAAAGAAGCTGCAGATCTTTGGAGCTGGACCCAAGATGATGGGACTGTCTTTGGGAGCAAAGGATAAAGAGGGTAATTAAATCTTGGGCTCTTCGCTTTCAGTGAGATTGTTAAATCTTCCTGAATGTCCCTAGAGACAGTATTAAGAGGAAGGCAAATCGAAACTGGAAAAAGAAAGCTAAGTATTCTAGGGTTTCATTCATGAGAGATTTAGAATGCTTCTTATAACTTGGCAGATTTTCAGCTCTTTATATATTACATAGTAACAATAACAGTTAAGCAGCTGTTCCATGAATTGAGTGACTGAAAGGGAAAGCAGGATTTAAAAGTACTGAAACTGATCCTGCCAGCAAAGTGCACAACTTAGGTGTTTAATTCACTGTTTTTCATGGGACCACTGGGATCACCTGTAAGGATAAGCAAAAGATGTTTTTCCTAATCCCTGTTGATTTTAGATTGGCCAGGTATAAGATGGCATTTTTTGCTTTCTTTGGACTGTTAAGTAGTTTCTGATCTGAAAGGCAGGGTGCCAGGCTGGGTATCTGTGGTGTTTTTACAAGCTAAGTCTTATCTTGATGTGATATTAATAGCATTTAACTTCATTTTACTTCTAGATGAGGTGACGCGAAGGCGCAAGGGACCCAGATCAGAAGCATTTGGAATGCAGATGAGGCAGCGCAAGGGAACTCTTTCTGTCAACTTCGTAAGTGTGATGCCTTTGCTGTGATTTCTCATAGAAAGGACTTGTTTGATTTGCTGAGATTTTTCTTTTTTCCCTAAAAGAACCCCCACTCCTCCAAACAGATGAATGGATGCATGCCACAGCAGATGATACTGTTATGGGGAGAAAGAACAGTATTTTGCAAAACAATCTGTGCTCTAGGCTTTGGTTTTAATCTTTTGGACAGGAATGTGAAGCTTTTTGCTGATCATACTTGAATTCAAGTGCTTGAATGCCTTCAGTAGTTCAGTTGTTGTTGGAGCTCCCCTTTGTAGAACAGCTGTAACACTGCTTCTTTTCCTTAGAAGAGATTCTGAGCTGCTCCACTGCTTCAGGAGTTTGTTTTCAGCAATTCCACATCTTGCGTCATTTCTGTTCTGAATTTGAATAGGAAAAATAAAACTTTCAGTTCTCTGATGTTTGTCAGAGACAAATTAATGGGAAAGCAATGTACAGTTGTTCTTAATGTCTCTCCTAGAATGTGACTTCGTATTTTTGAAGTGTCATAACTTAATGTGTGTGTGCAGCCATGAATGAGGATCAGTGCTTTTATTTGTCCAGAGAATTAGACCCTTCACTAGAATTCAGCTGTTCCTTTTTTTCTCTTAGCCTGAGAACACTTACAAAAGCTTATCTTAAATTTCAACCATGGAAGACTAAAGACTCTAGTAATCACATTTTTATATGGGGGAAAAAAGAGGGAGAATTTGGGTATTCAAAAACCAGATCCCTGTGCCACTGCAGATGAGTTAGGATTTGTGTGACTTGAATTTTTTCAATTGTGCTACTGCTTCTGAGTATATGGTTTTCCTAGGTCATGTACATTTCATAATTTTAACTATGCTTTAATTTTAAAATAATTTTTCTAGTCTCCTGGGGTTTTTTATGGAGCACTATAATTTGTTTACTCTTTTTATTCACACAAGCACATCAACCTGTATTTATAAGGGAAAAGGAAAATGTTGTAACACAGAACTGTTGTTTTGAAATTGTATTGCTGTAACTCTAATATTTTGAAATTCTGTGACTTAGTACTATTTGTTTTCACACTTTTTTTTAATACTTGGACAAGGAGAGCAGTCCTAAATGCACTGGTGATGCATTGACCTCATATAACATTGGGCTGAAAAATACTGTGGTGCAGTTTTGTGTGTATTTCTCCATCATTTATTTATCTTTTTTTAAAGTGCTAACTACAAAATTGATTTTATTTGGTGAGTTACTAACTGGGAGAACAAAACACACTTTTTTATCTCCTCCTATCCCCTTGATGCATATGGTTGTATATCATCATAGTCTTACACTGTTTTATTACGTGGCTAGCTGGATTTTTGTGGTTATTGCATGATCACAGATCTGCTTGTTGTGAATATCTGTTTCAGTGCAGTTTTTGTATTTGCCACATCATCACTTCGGCTAGCACAGAGGTTGCATATGTTAATAGGAGTTGAGAGGGAAGAAGGTATTACCAGTGGCAGGTAGCTAGTGAGGACCATAGAAAATTTAGGATTGCTATTTTCATGCACTGTTAAGTTTTGGGAAGAGAACATGGAAGTGCCTGCTGAGGTTCCCTCCCTCCCTCCTGTGTACATGCAACAAAAGCAGCTGGTTTGGTGCTTTGGACAGACATGCTGTTCCATGAGGGGGAAAATGATACGTCTCTGAGTAGAGCTGCATTATTTTTTAAAATAGTTTCTTAAGAAACCTGAGCAGTCTCCTTAAGAAGTAAATTATTGCACAGCTAGGAGGTTGCATATTTAACTAGGCAGCTGTAACTGGAGATGGGTTTGTCATTAACTATTTAATACACCTAATCAGCTGAAGTGCACATGTTTTTGTGACATCTTGATTAAATTAGCAGGCCCCACCGAACGCAGCCCCGCCTCTTCTGGTGTTATTTTGAGCTGTGTGGAGGAAATGCGCACAGCCCGAGTCGCCAGGGGCTGGTGGGAGTAGTGGCAGAATTTGGAGCAGGTGTCATTCATGAAGTTCATGCTGTTAGTAAAAATTCATACAGAAGGGAATTTTTTAGCCATAGCAAAGCAATACCCGTTTTTTTTCCATTTAGATTATTACAGTTCTTCAGTGTTATATTAAATGTTTCTGTTAATTGAAGTTCTTTGTACAGTACAGGAAACAAGAGCAAAGATCTGAAATCTTTCTGTGTGGTTTTCTCTCTGGCCCCAGTCTCCCAGTCAGTGTTGTTCTTGTTGAGAGACTGTCTTGAACAACTTCTTTGAACAGTAGCAAAAACTTTGCTATTGTATTGGGATTAATACTTCTCTCTTATCATTTGGAGGTTTTATCCTTTGCTTTGGGAAAAATGAGAAAGAAGTTGGTACCTTTACATGTGGTTTCCTTCACTTCCTCGTAAATTTTTAGATTGAAGTCTGTAGATTTGTGAATTTTGTTATCTTTTTCATTGCAAAGACACCACTGTACATTTGCAAACGATGATGAGTGTATTTCTGAAATACCTTTCTGAGATTTTCCTTAGCCATGCAGTCTTTGTAGAGATTCAGTTTAAATTGTTTTCTATGATAAGAGGGCTGAAGAGAAGGAGTTCTAAAAACTGTAACTTACTCTTTTGCCTGAGAATAACATAGATGAGATGCTGCTTGATTTAGACAGCAAAAGATAGTGCAACTGAGCTGCATAGTAATTTTGCAGCACCCAAAGTCCTCCTGCCCCCACAAAGTGCTGCTTTGGGAATGAAACATAAGCCATCATTGTCAATACTTCTCAAAAACCAGAGGAGTCTGTTGGTGCTCATGTACTGGACTTCAGGATATCATCCTTTTTTCCTTAGCTTAAGTAGGGTGGGCTCTGGGTGACAAACTTCTTGTAACTGTTTTCTTCTTTTGTTGTTTTCCCCCACAGGTGGATCTCTATGTTTGCTTATTTTGTGGTAGAGGAAATAACGAGGATAAACTGCTGCTGTGTGATGGGTGTGATGACAGCTATCACACTTTCTGCTTGATTCCTCCTCTTCCTGATGTACCCAAGGGTGACTGGAGGTGTCCAAAGTGCGTTGCTGAGGTACGGTTCAAGAGCTGCTGGAGCTCTGTGTGTGTACCTGGAAAGATCAGAAGAGCAGTTCAGCAATCCATCCATGTAGAATGCATAGCTTGTTTTGGAATATTGGCAAGATGAGCCTGGAATTTTGGTTGATGAGCTGTAAGGGGAGAGAGGCATTCCTTCTAGAGCTTGGGCATAACCTTTGTTTATTACATGGCCATGTGGCAGCCAAAAATTTGATCGTGGTATATTAAGAGCTGAAACTCAATTTGATAACCTGGTAGTGGGAAATTAGGGGTGAGAGCTAGGGTTATAATGGATGTTTCCACATAATGACGACACATTTTGTAAACTATGGAGTAAATAAAGTATGAAATTCAGGCACAACAGGGAGCTTTGATTATTGGGAAGACATTATAGCATTGTTCAGAATGGCCTGTAGCAGAAAGTGAAAGAAGTAATTTAAAATTTTGTTGCAGCTATTTTAGATTTGGCTTAGTCTAAAAAAGGAACTGCTCAGGCTCTGAAAGTGAAAGCTAGTTGAATTTCATTACTCAAAAAGGAAGAGCTACCCAGTTCCAAGAGATGATTGATCAACAGACAGCAAACATTGATTGCAAACCAAGCATTGATTGGCTTGGTATTTGTCATGAGGAGACAGATTGTGCAAGCTCAGAGGGTTGGTAGATGTAGGATTGAGAGGAAGAAGCTTGCTGTTTGCAGTTGTTTCCAAAAGGAGCAGTGGTTAAATGCCCATTCCCCTGTGCCCTTCCCTGGTGTTGGCTCCTGCTGGTTCCTTTATGGCGCTGTTTGGAGCTGCTCTCACCCTTCACTGAGAGATGAGGCTGTCAGATGGACTCAGGCAAATGTGCTTGAAGAGAGGTGGAAATTCATAGCTACAGGCGAGGGAAGAGATGGAACTTTCCCTCTGGGCTGCTGCTCAGAGAGTGGATTAACCTACTTCTTTGTTTTCTCTTAAGAAAGAGCAGTAAGGAAGTATTAGCAAACTGCAGCAATAGAAGATGGAGTTAATTTGGAGACTATAGTAGTAAATAGAGTGGCTGCAAGGGTTTAAGATGTGAAAACTCAAGAAATTTCATTATTGCTAGTAGAAACAGGGATAGATTGTTACCAAAGAAAAACATGCAGGCAGGGACAAACCCAGGGAAGATAAGGTGCCAAATAAGATTTTAGTAGCAAATGATACTTGAAAAATACTTGAAAAAGTTTGCAAATACATTGAAAATAAGAAGTAGAAAACACATGCCTATAATATGTCCTGTAAACAAGTAACTGCAGTGTTTGAAGTATTCACTAGTACTTTTTGCCTCAGTTTTTACTTTAGATGTTAATTTTGTGCAGATGCTTAATGTAATTTTACAGCAGGGTACTGGAACAGAAGCTGGGAAGAACAGGGTAAGGGCTCTTTATATGTATTTAGGTCAACATTGTTTGACAGTGTTCACAGATGTCACAGGCTCCATTTAAGAACCACTTTGATACGTGTTGGGAATAGTCTAAGGATAATTCCTCATGAAAAAAAGAGAAACTACTGATTAATTCCTTTTCAGTCCTTTCTTTGACTGAAAAGCTGAGTATCAGATAGTTTTACATCATCTTTGTGTTCCAATGTGTCTTGTATATATAAACATGGTGTCAATTCCAAAGGAGCTGAGAAGGACACATAAGAAATGAGTGGGGAGAGGAGCTGAAATATCCACCAGTATTTTTTTGCATTTTCAAGATGAATGGGGATAGAACAGTGAAAGACTTGGAGATTTTCTGTCAGATGGGCCGTGTCTGTTGTTGGCTGTGTTGCCCTGTTCTAATTTCCTTTTTCCTCTTCCCTGTTATATATTTTCACAGTGTCAAATCTGTTGATGATTTGCTGACTTGATAAGACTGAAACACTTGGGGGGTTTGTTCCTGTGCAGTTATTCTGCAGGTGCTGGAATCCAGTGTGTCTGCAGAAATGTCCTGTGGCTGCCTAAGCATCTTGTGCACAGTCTTGCTCTGTGGCTGGCAGCGGTAGCTGATGAAATGTAGCTTTGGCCAGGAAAGCAGAAGTGTGCAGCACTGGGGTTACAGTGTTAGATTAGCTTCTGTGCCGTTAATTCGGGTCTGTTTCCGCTGTGGTGCGACGGCCCTGCCTGGAGACGTCTCAAAACTGGGAGCTTATTGTGCTGCCTAGGGACTCAGATGGACGCTGGGGCTTCTTGCTAAAAATGTAACTGTGTCAGAGTCTGCTGCAGGGAACAATATTTCTATCTTCTGTCTCCTAGGAATGCAACAAACCCCGAGAGGCCTTTGGATTTGAACAAGCCGTCAGGGAATATACTCTCCAGAGCTTTGGTGAAATGGCCGATAACTTCAAGTCTGATTATTTCAACATGCCGGTCCATGTGAGTTTCAGCTTTTGTTGGGATTCCTTGTAAGGGAAAAAGAGAAGAGGTTTCAGTTGATCCTGGATTTTTGCTAAGGCATCTTAGCCTTGTTTAAAGAGGCACCATAAGCTTCAAACATGTAAACAAATTATTTAGCTTGCTGGCATCTGGTCTCATTTCAGCTTCATTTCACCCTTTTCCTGCAATGGACAGACAGCTTTATTGCTTGTTAGAGTTTACTGTATTGGGCACACTCTAGTTAAAGTTCTTGCCCTTTTTGATAAACTGAACTCAGTATCTTGCTCTTGTTTGGCATAGGGGCCCTTCTGCCCTTCCTACGCTTTTGTCTTGGTTTAGTTTGTCCAGAGGATAAATCTTTGCTTTCCTTCCTCCTACAGTATTTTCTTGTAGACAAGTCAATAGACTGAATCTGTCTGGTAATCACAGTGGTTTTGGTTTTTTGGTTTTTTTTGTTCTGCATCACAGCAGCATTTTTCACACTGGTGTTTCTGCCAAAGTGAACTTTGGCACAGTTCCACTGTCCTGTGGACTGCATGTAGCACCAAGGTCTTCCTCCTCTCATGGTTCTCTGGTAATTTAGGGACATTCTTGCTAGAGCCTGTAGCTTTCAAGGACTACAATTTATGATAGAAGTTTGGGACACGGAACAAAGCTTATTTTAAGAATAAGCTTCATAAATAAATACACATGAGTAAGAGTAATGATGAGTTATATGAAGATCAAGCTCCTGAACACAATTTTATATCTGCATTTCCTCACTGTTTAGAAATCCTGGTCATTATCTTCTGAAATAGTTTGGAATTTGCATGCTACTTTGTTCCCTTTGCTGCTTGATTTCTGTTGGCTGTCTCCTCTTCCCCCTGTGTTTTGGTGTAGCTGTGGTGATTCCATCTCTTTCACTTATTCCTTCCCCCATGAGGTGGTATCCAATTCCTGAAGCATTCCAGCCACTGCACAGGAACACACACCAAACTTTGACTTTGACCCACACAAACCATGACTTTGAAGAGATGGCGGGGAGAGGGGTAGCGACCTTGGTGTATGAAAATTCACGGGGAGTTAATAGAAATTTATTGCTTGAATGATAATTTTTGTTATCTGCACCTACCATCACATCTCTTCTGCTTTCAGATGGTTCCCACTGAGCTAGTAGAAAAAGAGTTCTGGCGATTAGTGAGCAGCATAGAAGAAGATGTTATTGTGGAATATGGGGCCGATATCTCATCCAAGGACTTTGGGAGTGGCTTCCCAGTGAAGGATGGCCGACGAAAGCTGATGCCAGAGGAGGAGGTGAGGAACAGGATATGCAAACTGACCCCATTCTTTGCTCTGCATAAGATTTCACATTAAGAATTTGGGTCAGAAGTCAGCGTGGATTTTTTTCATGAAGAAATTGTTTCGGGGTTTTGCTCGTACTTAACATTCCTTTTGAGCAGGGCATTAATCTGGTATTTGAGGTTCTTTGACAGATCTGGTTGCTGATAGCCAAGATCTGTTTCATGATTTAAGTCACACCTGTTTTCTATCACTTAATCTTAGCAGGCAAAGATGTGCAAGTTGTTGCAGTTTGTCCGAGTATGAGGAGGCTCTTTAATAGTATTTTTTTTTCTTGTTCCAAACCTTTTCATTATAGAGTTAGCTACAGAAACGTGATTCTGTCCTCCTTAGGAGGTTCTTAATGGGTGAAACAAACTAATTTGGTTTAGCTTGTTTCTTGTGCATACTGTAAGAATGTAGATGTAGATAGATACAGCATTCAATTATAGAACATTCTGTAAAGATGATTTGGTAAGTGTATTACCTATTGTCCCACAGACCTTACTGTAGCAAAGCAATTTTCTTGCTGCTTGTATGCTTAAATTCAGACATAGTAAAGGTGTGTTTTCCTGATTACACAGCCCCCAATCAATTTATACTGCTCACTGGTAGAGGTAATCCTGCTCACTATTGTCTTGCACCTATTCCTGCACCTTCCTGTGTGTACCTTTGTTGGCTATGCTGTGATTGTGTAGCTGCTTAGTGAGTCAGCACTGATTGTTTATCTATTTGTATGGAGGTAGTCACTTGAAAAATTTCTTAACCAGATCACTTAAGTCTTCTGACTCACTGCAATGTCTTTGTAGTGTCAGAGCAAAGGAAACAGCCACAATCAATGTTTGGCTGAGCTGAGGGCCTGACCAGTCCTTTCAGCAGCTATGGCATATATCTAAAACTCCAATCAAGCTTTTGTAAAAGTGGAAAGTAAATTAATGCTGAAGTGCACTAGTGGCCTTTTAAGGCTGTCTGGATTATAATTTTTTTTACCAAACTGTGTGTATTTGAAGGCAAAGGTGAGACTGCTTAACAGGTGATGTTGTCCTCTCAAAAATGAGTGTGTAGGAATTTCTTGAGAAAAGTTTCTAAAGTAATCTGTAAAGTAGATCAGTGTAAAGTGCAGCATGATAAAACAGATGTTAAAAAAGCTGAAATAATAACATGAGATTAACTGTGTTGTTCACAATTTAAAGTTGTCCTGTATTACTGAAGACTTGCATCTTTAGTTCTTGTGCTGGTGTTGCTGGTATTTTGTTCCACCAGAAAAGCATGAAACCTGCAGTCTTGTGTTGGGGAAGAAATCAAAACCTGAGTGTATAAGCCTTGATCTAAATAAGATGGGCTGTGTTGAATTACTAAGACAGGTATTAAAATCGTAGTGTGATTATTTGATGACTATGGTATTTAAGGAATTATTTCCAGTTTTGATGTTCCATTGTTGCAGGAAATATCCCATTACCTGCTATAGAAATGGATTGGCTGATGTTTTCATTTGTACTTTCCTTTTCTGGAGTTGGTGTCCTTATGTTGTGATTTGCTCAAATTTTCTCCTTTTGGCAGGATTATGCTCTCTCTGGTTGGAACTTGAACAACATGCCCATTCTCGAGCAGTCAGTGCTTGCTCACATCAATGCAGACATCTCTGGCATGAAGGTGCCCTGGCTGTACGTAGGGATGTGCTTCTCCTCCTTTTGCTGGCATATTGAAGACCACTGGAGCTATTCCATCAACTACCTGCATTGGTAAGGGCTGTCCTTTGTGCATCTACCTTACCCTGCCCTGTTTGCTTGGGGAAGTTTGCAGTTCTACTTCAGAGAGCCTCAGCACACTGAGGATGTTTGTACATGGAAAGCTGAATGTGCAGAGTGGTCCCTTTCCTTAGCTGTGATTGAAACTCAATACAGATGCTTTTTAAAGCACCCTAGTGGGCTCAAGGCAAAGCATTCAATTAAGGCAAACCCAGGACAAGCATATTAGTGCTTTTCATCAACTGATGAAATGTTCTTGTGTGGCCAGCATTCCAGTGTCACCATAAAATTGTGCTTTACAGGATCCTATCTTTTTTAAGAAACTTTTTTTTGTTTAGAACCGAGTTAAGAATTCCCTTTTTCCATGCTTTATGCTTTAAAGTTGGGATGTCTGTGTGCAGAAGCGGAGTCTGCTGTCTCTTGGCTTCTAGAGGCATCAGAACTGACTGTTCAGCAGCACAGATCCACATATACAAGGAAATATGCCTTGTAAAGAGAAATTTGGAAGTAATTCTGCCTTTTGGAGCAGCCCTGGGAATGTTGTGGTGTTGAGCTTTTGTGTTTGAACAGGAGACTCGTGAGAGGGTAAGCTGGGAGCTTTAGGAAGTTTTCTGGACATCTGGGAGAGATGAGCTGATGGCCTTCAAAGCAGGGCTGCAGGTCTTGGAGGAACTGGCATGTTTGACAGCTCGGTGAGAGCTCAGGCAGTGCTGGTTCGGTGTCCAGGAGTGCTCCTGCCCTCTGCTGTCCCTCTGCTGTCCCTCTGCTGTCCCTCTGCTGTCCCTCTCCTGTCCCACTCCTGTCCCTCTCCTGTCCCTCTCCGGCCAGCAGGGGGCGTCGCCGCCCGCAGAATCGCGGATAAATCTCCTGGATAAATCATAATCCATTATGCTATATATATATATCCATTATCCATATATATATATCCATTATATATCCATGTCCATTATGATAAATCATAATCCCAGAACCCCGGCAGGCTGCCGGCAGACTCCTGCTTGTACTGAGTCAGATGGATCTTAAAAGGAAATCTCAGCACTGCAGATGGACTGTTGGTCTTGGTTAAGAAAGGACTGGAACAGTGCTGGAGTAATTATTTGTTTAGTTTTGGTCCCATTAATCTTTTTGTTCCCTAGTACTTAACTAATCCACGTTATTTGGCATGTTTCATCTTAACGGGTTCAGTGGATTGGAGGTTTTTAGTAATTAGTTGGGAATATTAGAAAGATTGCATGCATTTTACTCCACTGGCTAGTATACTGTTGGTTTTAGGAATGTGACTACTCCAAGCCTAATTGAATGGAGGATTTCCATGATCTTTCTTAGACTGTAGCTTTGTTTATTAAATCTTATTCCTTCTTCCTGAAGGAAAATAATTGCCCATTTTACCCCTTTGGAGCATGGTAAGTGACAATTACCTTCCATGTTAGGCTTGCCAAGGCAAATCTACTGCCAGGTATGTTGAGAATTGTGTTGGAGTGTAACTGATTTTTCAGATTATAATAGTACATCCTGAAGAAGATGCTTGTTGGTTAAAGATAATTTAAATGTAGGTGTGCAGCGGCTCATGAGGACAGTGCTGCTGGCTGTAAGGTGTGCTTCACAGCTGGGTGGCAGCAGCAGTTCCCTCTCACTTGTGTTCATCCCTGTGCTTGTGTTTTGGTAGGGGAGAGCCAAAGACGTGGTATGGTGTGCCCTCTCACGCAGCAGAGCAGCTGGAGGATGTGATGAAGGAATTGGCTCCTGAGCTGTTTGAGTCCCAGCCTGATCTCCTGCATCAGCTGGTCACTATTATGAACCCCAATGTGCTGATGGAACATGGTGTACCAGTGAGTAGCACAAGAGCATTTTTACAGAAGTACTTCTGTGTGTTCTCTTTTATTCATTCTCTGTCAGATTTGTGTAACAATGGTTTGGCATAACTCTGAAGAGTCTTTATGGTGGGCATTTGCATATTCATTACTTATAGGGTATTTTTTAAAGCTGTTTTCTAGGCTCTTCCCTAGACTAACCAGGAAATTTAAATTATTTTGTAGCAGAAGTGAGTGTGCCAAGCTTCCTACATAAAATACCTTCCAGAACAAACATACTGTGTATTACACTTAATTTTTAATAAGAAAAGATCCCTTCCCTTGTATAAAGCAATAAGTTTGTCTGAAATGCCTTTAAAAGCTTTTGACAGTAAAATACTTACCTTACATTCAGTAGAAATCTCAGCATTACAAAATGCTTTTCTGGCCAAACAAAATTGTCTGCAGCCCTCTGAGCAGCAGTCACTATCATTTGCTTTTGTCTTAGGACAGATTGCTTCCCTGGCAAATACCCCAGCAAAGCAAACCATAAACTTTTTTCCAGAAGCTTTTGCACTTTGTGGTACAATGGATTAAATGATGATAGAGAAACATCCCTCTTGGGATTCATAAAGACAGTTTCCAACTGTTGGCTTATATATTCAGCTCTTTTTGAAAAAGGCTGTAAATTGAGTATTCATGTTAAGAAGGCAGAGAGAATCCTTACCACTGTTGGGATTGTTGTTGCCTGTGGTGATCTGTGGGTACAGAAAGAAGTGTTCAAACATCTTGTACTTTTGTGTCTTAAGCTGTTGCATTTTACATATTTTTTCTTTCCTTTACCCTCCCTTTTCTAGGTTTTCAGGACCAATCAGTGTGCTGGCGAGTTTGTTGTGACCTTTCCTCGTGCCTATCACTCTGGATTTAACCAGGGATACAACTTTGCTGAAGCTGTGAACTTCTGCACTGCTGACTGGGTCTGTTCTTTTGTATATATTTGCTATGTGAGCTGTGCAAGTGGTGTATTAGTAACTCAACTACCTGAACAATCTTTTCAGTTAAATAGTGTATTTTATGCTTATAATTCTTGGGACAGCAGTTAGAAACTGTGGGGGGTTTCCATTAAACAAAGTAATTTTGGTGAGCACATAATTTTAGGTAACTTCAGACTGAAACTTTGGGCACATGTTCTTCCTTTTTAATTATTGGTTAAGCAAAAAGTGGCATCTCACAGTACCTTTAGCTGATGTTTCTGTGATGCCAGTTTCTGAATTTGATATAGGTCCATGTCCTGTCCTGAAGTATTGTCATTTGAATGTTGGAGACAGGCTTTTAGCAGTCTTTTTTCCTCCTTTGTGCCAGCTCATTGTGCCTTTTAATCATATTAGTGCTGTGCCACATCAGTGCACAGCTCATGTGGATTGTTCAGGAAATTGTCAAAAGAGCATTCTGTTACTATCCACGGCTTACAGTTGGAAGTTACTATCTCATCTCTAGTTTATCTGTCTCTAACTTCATTTTTTAAGCTACAAAAGGAAATTTTAGCCCTTTTTCAGGGACTTCTATTCATTTATCAGAAAAATTGTCTGCAGGACTGGCAGTGTGTCAGGGCTGTTTTTTCCCTCCAGCACTCATGATGCAATGTGTGTGTAGCCTCTGTGAAAAACTGCTTAATTTGCACCAGCCATGTGAAACTTCCTTTGCTTATATAAAATGTAATAGGAAAATAGGAATATGTGTGGCAAATTCATTTAGCATCTTTTTACTTTAAAAGGCACAAAATGAGTGATACCAGTTTTGGTTAACTCTGGGGATCTTACTTTAAATGTCTGTGTCCAAGCATAGTAATATCCAGAAGGGAATGTATTCACCTGAGTGTAACCTGATGACTTCTCTTTGGTGCCAGTTCCTTGCCACTGGAAGTAAAAAAAGCTTAGGACAACTTAAACTTCTGTCTCGAAGTTAGGTGCATAAGGTTATGGAAATTGCCCCTGCCCTACCCTCTTTGTCCTCACCTGTGACGTGCTTTAAAGCTATTAGAGTTTTCTCTGTCTCATCAAATACAACTCTTAGTCTCAGTTTTTTCCCAGTTTTTGTCTGAGGAAGGAGAATGGGAGCTGAGAGGTGATATTTTCCCCGAATGATGGCGATGTGGTTTTCTGTAGCTCCCCATTGGACGTCAGTGTGTGAGTCACTACCGAAGGCTGGGACGTCACTGTGTGTTCTCCCACGAGGAGCTGATCTTCAAGATGGCTGCAGATCCAGAGTGCTTGGATGTGGGGCTGGCTGCCATGGTCTGCAAGGAGATGACTCTGCTGATAGAGGAGGAGACACGGCTGAGGGAGTCTGTTGTACAGATGGTGAGTAATAAGAGAACCCTTTGCTTGCAGAAGAACTTCTACTTCCCTCTCCCCACACTTGTATTAGAATTTTTGAGCAAGTGGCTAATTCTTTTTGTCAGGGAGTGTTGATGTCTGAGGAAGAGGTGTTTGAGCTGGTTCCAGATGATGAACGTCAGTGCACAGCTTGCAGAACCACGTGCTTCTTGTCAGCCCTTACGTGTTCCTGTAACCCCGAGCGCCTGGTGTGCTTATACCATCCCTCTGATCTGTGTCCCTGTCCCATGCAGAAGAAGTGTCTAAGGTACACAGGATTTTTTCCTCCCTACTTTTCTTCCGTATCTAATAGTTCGCTGTAGCCCTGTGGCCAAATACATTTGCTCACACTTTTTTCCTCCTTTATTTAAGGAGTATTTTTATCCTCTTTATTTCTTGGTTCTTAGGCAAGCAGGTATTGTACATGTTCTGTTTTTCTGGCATTGCTGCAGCTGGAAAAACTCAGTATTATCAATACCCTGACTTTCACATGGGCATTAATACTTTCTCTGTCTCTTTTTCCATACCTTCAGGTACCGCTATCCACTAGAAGACCTTCCTTCTTTGTTGTATGGAGTGAAAGTTAGAGCGCAGTCTTACGACACTTGGGTCAGTAGAGTTACAGAGGCTCTGTCTGCCAATCTCAACCACAAGAAAGGTCAGCCTTCTGTCATTCTTAATAGGATGTCCTGAAACTCCTACATGTGTTCTGTGCTCTCATTTAATGAGACAAATAGTGCTTTAGGTATTGGAAAAAAAAAATGAACTAATGCAAGAGCGTAATGCAGATTAGTATTGTGCATTTCAAATTGAACTACCCTGTTGGAACCTTGATTGAAGGCCACTGAAGCAATCTAAAATCCCTTTTTCTTTGCATACAAATGATTTCTGTGCTTTTATTACAGATGTGATTGAGCTGAGAGTAATGTTGGAGGATGCTGAAGACAGGAAATACCCAGAGAACGATCTTTTCCGCAGGCTCCGAGATGCTGTGAAAGAAGCAGAGACCTGTGCTTCAGTAGCACAGCTGCTTCTGAGCAAAAAGCAAAAACACAGGTAGGACAGGCACAGAATCTGCCATCTGCCTCTTTGTTACTTTGTTGGACTTGGAAGAGTTAAAAACCCTGTGTGCAAGCTTCTTTTAGTGTTTCTTTTCCTTAGTGCTGTGACTCACCGAGAGGTAGGGAGGGGTGGAGGCACTGGCAGTGGCACAAAGGACCAAAAGGTGAACGTAGTTGGAATGTGATAAACATTCTGCTTTCAGCTGACATACGTACTGAAATGTGAAATCCTTTGGAGAAGCTGTGTTTGATTGCTGATGAAGTATTTTGCTGAACATGTGGGAGGGTTGTAGGGAAAGACAGCTGGAGGTAAAAATGTAGTGAAAGTATGTTTTGACTTTGGTGTTTGTGACAAAAGGATCTGGGGGAGCACAACAATACAGAGAGCAAAACCAGTCCATGGTTTGAGCCAATCTGTTACTTTTTGGGAAGGACCATGGGAGGCAGTGAGGTGTGGCTGAGAAGCAGTGGCTTGCCTCAGTGGCTTGGGGCAGTGTAACTCCATTGGTTCTCTGTGCTGCCTGCCTTGCCTGTGGCTGCCTCAGCATTGCTCTGTCTGCTGGATGTGTTCCTTGCTCTGCTCTCATGACCTTCCAGGGGCATGTTCCTCCTTCTACCCTGTGTGTTTTGTGCACTGGATGGAAGTCCCGTGGAAAGCAGCTCAATGAGGTGACTGTAATTCTTGTGGCAGCAGTTGTACAGTAAATTGATGTAGCTTGTAGTTCCTCTGTTGAGGATAAGGTTTGGGTTTGTAGTTGGCTGTATTTCTTGCATTTGTGGTTTTTGTGTATTATTTAAGACATTATGAAAGAGGAAAAAGAAAATACCTTGTTAATTATAATGCCCAACTTTGCTACGCAGAACATAATGCAGATATCATAATTGCTTGAATTTGAACATGAAAATGTTAGTTGCAGCACAGATCCAAGTGTAACAATCTGTTCTAACTGGAAAGCTGTTACACAATAGAGAAGTATTTTTTCCTGTATTTGGAGGCTAAAGAAGGCTCTCCTATTTGTTTTTTATTGCTTGTAGAACCCCACTGCCACAGAAGTGTTACTCACTGAGAACTCTGATCCAGGTGAGGGAAGGAGCATGACAGGGGTTGTACTGCCCTAATTGTTCCAGTGAAGTTCAATTTTGGTAGCTCCCAGGTGTTCCTGGTCTGGTGCTGCTTCCTGCTCTTCCTCCTGCTGCTGGAGTATGTCAGCCCTCTCTCAACAGTCCATCAGTTGCTGATATATATATATATATATATATTTCATTATAAATTGTTATATATGTAAGAAGAAATAACTCATCAGTTAGTTATTTGGTGGGTTTCCAGAACTAACCCAAGAAAGACAAGAGGTAGGAGGATTCAGCAGCTTTCAGTGTCATGTCTGATCTAAAGAGAAAAGAATTTTATGTGGCAAAAAAAGGAACTTGTATATACGTTTGAGGGCTATTGTATGCTAACTAAAAATGTTTCACTGAGTTGAGGTTTGAAGAAGATCTTGAAACTTCTTTGAACAGTGGTAGGCAGTGTAATTATAAAGGTCATGTTCAGTTGCTTCTGTAATGTTTGTGTTCATATTTAACACCTGGAGAAGGATCACATTCACAGAAAGGATAGGGTTATTAAAGCAAATTAAAAACAAGTACTCAAACAGAGCAATTTGGCAGGGTTAATGCAACAATAAACTCACAGTCAAATGTAGCAGAAGAAAATCTGTGCCTTATCCATCTCAGTATGAATAAACCGAAAAAATGGATAATGTGTAGCTGTGAAGTTCTGCCCAATATTCTAATCCTAGATCTTTACCTTCTGCTGGAAGTTGGGAGTTTCCCCAGGCAGGGACAGCTGCACCTTTCTGTGCAGCATCTCGTGCTGTGGCAGTGTGTGGTTGACAAGGGCCAGAGTGGCAGTGGGACACTGCTGAGTGTCCCCTCCCTCAGCTGTGTCCCTTGGAGCCCCTGATCCCTCACTCAGGGGATTCTGGGGGCACAGTCAAAGCCTGCAGGATTCTTTTTTCCCCTCTGAGGTTTAGCTGGTGTGAAATTATATTTGATCATTAATCTAAATTTTACATTTACAGTTTTGTGTAAGTCCATATATGATAGAACTTTTTTCTTTACTATTTCTGTAGTATTGAAATGTAGATTCATTGGCAGGGAAGGGCTCTTCAGTATTTGAAATCTGTCGTGCTTGGGAAGTTGTGCCTGCCAGTGATCTGTACACCAAGTATTTAATACACCAAGTATTTAATTTGTGCAGTGTATCATTTTTAAATCTTTTACTCCGTTCAGTGGGCTTGTTACACTTGGCTCTGAGTGATATTTAATGGAAATGTCTTTGCAGAACCTCTCCCACTGAATATCAGTCCTCTGTTGCAAGGTCAGTTTCAGCAGTTCTCTGGCTACAAGAGAGAAAGCACTAAAAATTAAGACTTGTGTTCAGAGCTTGTTGCTGTTACATATCTCAGACTTCTGGTCAGTGCCTGGCATGGCAGCCAACTTCCTGAGCTGCCTAGAGCAGACTTTATGGGCCTATGTTCTTCTATTTGTAACAAACTCAGTTTGAAAGTCACCTAGACAATTGTACCTCTGAAGGGCAGGGTGAATGATCCTGAAGGGACTTAGGGGAATTGTGTTAAATTTTATTTGCAGGATTTTGGAATTCTTGTTTAGTTTGAGTTACGTTTTTCTTTTTGAGTTCTTAGGTGATGAATGTTTTTGGTTGTAACTTCTCAGTAATCTTGATAATTTCTGTCACTGTGGATAAATCCAATCTTATCTCTCACCTAATATTTAATGATGCCCATTTGTACAGCAGAGTGAGCCCAGACAGTGGGAGGACACGGACCAAGCTGACTATGGAGGAGCTTAAAGCATTTGTGCAGCAGCTGTTCAGCTTGCCATGTGTTATCAGCCAGGCCCGACAAGTGAAGGTAAGATTGCATCTGCTCCTCTGATAACGTTGTGCCTCTTTGTTCTGGCTTTGTGGTCGTACTTTTTTTTAAGCAGGTAATTTTGCCTGGTGGACAGGATGAAAAGCTTCTGGTGTAAAACATCTGTGCAGTTTTTCAAGGTGCCTGGTGCCGCAGGTGTTGTCAGATGTGCTGCAGCTAAACAGAGATAAAAGATCGATCCCCTTCCCCTGTCACTGTCCAGGCAGCCCAGTGCCCAATCTCTGAACCACTTACTCTGATTCCATCATCGTTAATGCTCTCTGTAGAGGTGAAGTTTCTGGCTAAACCCCACCCTTTATATGTTTTTGTAGAAATCTCTGGGGGTTACATGGCTGTGCTTTTTCAGGGCAGCAGGAAAGCAGTGCCACGTTGTCAGTTACTCCATAAATACATCTCAGCCTTGCTTTCTAGGCTAGAGCCTTCTTCATCTGTATGCATGGCCTGCATTTCTTGCCCTTCATATATATCTTTGCACCTGTCTGTGAAGGAATCTGGACTAATAAGTAATCCAGATCATACTGATTCCCCTGGCTGCTATTACCATTTATCATTCTGGCACTCTGCATCATAACAAGTATTTTCAGCAGCAGTCTTAATTTGTTTCTCTGTCACTGGTGATGAAATACTAAGCAGTATTTCACCTACTAACCAACTTGTAGAAAACTCCTTAAGAAACATCCCTAATAAAGATTTTTTGCCTAGAGAAATGCTTCCTGAGATGTATATTAATCACTTATTAACCTGCATGCTCAGCTTGTACAGTTTTACAGGTGTTGTATAGTACTAGATAGAGGGCCTAAAATCCTGAACATCACCGTGGCTGCAGCTGCTGCTACATAGCCAAACATACACTTTAAAAATAACTTATGGTTTTTGGGTGGTTTTTTTTGTTTTTTCTTTGTTCTCTTTTTAGAAGGCCTCTTTTTTGTAAGCATTTGTTAGTGATTATATTGTTCATTCATGAGTTTTATATAAACTTTTCCATGATAGTTCAGTGTTGATAAGAAAGACTTTATATTGGAATTTCTTACTGTTTACATAATACTGGCATTTTTTTTCTGAAAACTATTTCCTTCAGAAAACCATGGGGCTCTAGTGTGCAGGTTTGCCAGGCTTGTTGATGCTGATCTTTGTCCTAACCAGTTTGCCAGCATCTAATAAAGTGGAAAGTGCTTTCTCATCCTCATATGATGGGATGGTTTTACTTCACTTCTTCCCACATCCAACCTAAAAATACTTACTAATATTTATTAATGAAATTTTATCATCGTCTCTTAGGTAGACATGTAAGATTGTTCTCAGAAGAATTTGTTTTTAATGTATTTTAAACATGTTTCTAATTAAAACATAATTCATAGATGAGGGGGCCGCAGGCATACAATTAACTCTTCACAGTTTCAGATGTATTTTGTCTAATACTTTCTCCCAGCTCGGCCATCTTCCCCCACCCCTCAGCATCAGGAATCTGATTCTAGTTCAAGTACTCTGCCTATGCATGTGCATGTTCTTGAAGCCTCAGCATAATCACTAGTCAATAAATAAATATTATCATTTTACTGATTACAAACTGTAGTCTTTTCGTTTCTGAATGAAGTCAGATAATGATCATTTTTGCCTAAGCACTCACTAGCTTTTAGCATGGCATTTGAATGCAATTATCCATCATAATGAAAAGCACAGTAATTGTCATGTTGGAAGATGAGTATTTTCTAACACAAAAGGCATTGTAATTACTAAACTGTAATAATTTACTGTTGCTACTATGAAGCATTCAGATCAAAATCAAAATCTTTATAATGTAGATCCTAATCTTTCTTATAAATGCCTTCTGATTTCCAGACAGTTGTGAGAAGCAGCATCAGCCATAAAGGGCAGTAAGCTTAAGGAAATGCAGGCTGTGCTGCTGATGGTGCCATCGGCTTGCTGTCAGAAATGCCTGTATTTTTGTGAGAGACTTGGGGCTGAATCAATTGAGTATGCTGGTTGAATGTCCTTGGATGAATCTCCTGCAGAGACTCTTTCCTGCCTGTTTGCTGTCTTTGATTTTTTTTTCATTGCAGTGCCAAAACATGAGGATGAGAACTGCAGCAGTGCAGTTGGATTTCTGTGAAATTGTCTCCTTTAATAAAAGGGTTTTGCATTTTCATTTCTTTCCTTTAGTGCAGTAAAGCCCTGATGCTTATAAGTGGTGGTCCTGCTTTAGGGAACATAACTTTCACACTTCACCATTGTTATTTTCACAACCTGTGGTATTTGTGTTCTCATACATCTCTGGCTTGTTATCTCTCCTCAGCATGTTTTTTTCTGCTTTGTGTCGCTGTCATTTCTGTAATGGCCCTGACACTATTGAAATGATGACTTGTTTGCAGAAGTCCCTTTTCTCCCCACAATTTCAAAACTAACGTTGACTGGGCAGCGCTAAATATTCTGTTTTGTTGGGAGCTGTCATTTGCAGTAGTGCTATTTTAGGTGCAGAGTTTGATGCAACTAATAATATGCCTAGGGTATGAAACATTAGGCCATCAAATAAGTTTAGATGGTCTGTTACTTAATTTCTGTCAGACTTGATGGCTTGTGACAGCTAGCTGGCATTGTGTGTAGAAGCTCAGACTGATGATGTGATGATCACATACAGATTCACAGCTGACTGATCCCTCAGTAGGATTTTCTTTTGGGTTCTGTGGGTGTTCTTTCCTCATTGATTTGTACTGTGTGCTACTTCAGAATCTGCTCGATGATGTGGAAGAATTTCATGAGCGTGCTCAAGAAGCTATGATTGATGAGATCCCAGACTCTTCCAAGCTGCAGGAGTTGATAGACATGGGCTCTGGCCTTTATGTTGAACTTCCAGAACTGCCAAGGTTGAAGCAAGAACTGCAGCAGGCACGGTGGCTGGATGAGGTGAGGTCCACCCTCCTGGATCCCCAGAGAGTCACCCTGGATGTGATGAAGAAGCTGATTGACTCTGGTGTGGGCTTGGCACCACACCACGCTGTAGAAAAAGCCATGGCTGAGCTGCAGGAGCTGCTCACAGTCTCAGAGAGGTGGGAGGAGAAGGCCAAGGTCTGCCTGCAGGCCAGGTGAGTGTTCCTTTCCAAACTGTTCTTAGAGGTCACACACTTTAGTGTTTCTTATCCTCTTTTGCAAAGTGTGGTGAAAAGTTGGGTCCTTGAAGCTGTAGTTGCCTTTCTTATTTTGTTGGTTTTTTGTTTTGTTTTGTTTTTTTACCTCCCAGCAGTTAGATTGCTCAAGAGTTGGATTTGAGATTGATGAATTGCAGAAGTGTTGATTCCCTATCAATGTTGCACAGTGGCAGGAGGCTGAAGCTGTGGGTGTTGCTGCTGCGTTTTGCTATTCATCCCCCTCCACAAAGAGCCCTGGCTATGCCACCAGCACGAGACAGCTTTCTTGCTGTGCAGGGGGTGTGATGCTGTGCCCTTTTGAGCTCGATTGTGCCAAGCCCATCAGCATTCTCACCTCCTGTTATTTGGTAGCCAGTAGCACCCTCCCAGCATAGAGCCATGCTATCCTGCACTGCAGTGCAGTGACCAAGTTGCATCACCAGCCTATCAAATTGATGGCTTTAGATGACTGGCATTTTGAGAGAAGGCTGGAATTGGGTTTTTCTTACTCTAGACCACGCCAAAGTATGATGGCTCTGGAGGGCATCGTGAATGAAGCAAAGAACATCCCTGCTTACCTGCCCAATGTGCTGGCACTGAAAGAAGCCCTGCAGCGGGCTAGAGACTGGACAGCCAAAGTGGAGGCCATTCAGGTAGGGCTTACAGCAGGGACTGCAATCTTCTGCTTGCACTCTTTTATTCAGATGTGTCCTTTATTCCTAGCACCTCTCCTGACAAAGGTGGCCCAAAGAGAAGCCTTGCTGTGGCTCTTGAAAGTCCTTACAGAGCTTGTGGACTTGATTTTCTTCTTGTGCATTTGTTTACCCACTGGCTATCCAATTTCTGTTCCCCTTCCATTTATGCATTTCAGAGTGGATGTAAAAGCTAGCAGGTTCATTATGATATGGTATTTGGCTTTGGAACTGTTCAGCATGCTGTCACTGAAAATATTTAGCTGCAGCAGAGGATGCTCTCAGGTTTTCAGTTTTGGATCTGGCTGTGGAAATTCTTTTGGTTTTTTGTTTTCTCCCTAAAGTGTAAGATTTAATGGCACTGGTGGCCAGAATTTTCTGAAAGAGATGAATTAGTTCAGTAACCTTCCCTCCTACTGTGGTCTAACCACATAACTTGATCCAGAGCTCTGTGATATTTCTGGGTGCTGATTGTTGAACTAGAATTGCTTATGTTATACCAGGTACTTGTTGGGAGTTGAAGTGTGAATCCCAATTCAGCCCCTATACAGCTCTTGCTGTTAAACAGACAGCATTTAGATAACTGTCTGGAAATGGAATGTTGTCTTACTCCCTAAGCCAGCTGGCCATGTCTAAATGACTGTTAAAATAAAAGCTGTATGAGAGAATTGTTTAAAGTAACAGTAGGTTGAAACACGGCCCTCCTTTCCTTTCCTTTCTATGGAACTCTATTTTAGGCAGTGACAAAATAGTGTATGGCTTGAAATTAGGCTGGCAGCTGATACAAGGATGGAATTGTTGGCTTAGGAAAATTTCTTTCACCCCAGAATGGGAGCAACTATGCATACCTGGAGCAGCTGGAGAGCTTGTCTGCCAAAGGCCGGCCCATCCCGGTGCGCCTGGACGCCCTGCCCCAGCTGGAGTCGCAGGTGGCCGCAGCTCGGGCCTGGAGGGAGCGCACAGGGAGGACCTTCCTCAAGAAGAATTCCAGCTACAGCCTGCTGCAGGTGGGCAACACGTATTTCCCTGTCAGGAGAGCACACTTCTCTGTCAGAAATGGGCCTCAGCTGTCTGGAGGGAGGAGCTGGTTCAGTTACACCGGATTACAGTTCCTTTTCAGAGTAGAACATAATTTCAGCTGTTCTCAGGTGAAAAGAATGAAAAAGGCAGAAAGTCTGTTTGGTTAGTCCTGCTTTATGTATAGACTATCTCATCTCTTTCTTTTGAAGGAAGAAGAAAAATAAAGCAATTTTTTTGTCATTGAAGAAATATGGGCCTGAAACGGACATAGACCTGTTGATAAATGTTTTCACTTGCCTCACTGTTTAAATGCTAAGAAAACAGATCGGATATTTTATAAACTTGTTTAAGAAAAATTAGTCAGCTACTGTTTATTTCACTTCAGTGGATGTAGTGACTGTCCTTGTTTTAATAAAAATCAATCATGTGTTTGAAGATCTATCATATCTACTTGACAGGCTTCCATTTTCTAAGGAAAACAGTTCCAGCTCCACTGCATTCTCAGAGGCTGTATTTTTCATTCTCTTATTTTGTTAATTCTCTGCAGTTTGTCTTTGCTTCTAGTGGGATGTCCAAATCCAGACAGAATTCTCACTCTGACTTTCCCTAGTGCCATGTGAAGTGCAGTAATTACATCTTGTGTCTCAAAACTGATGTTTAATGTTTTCCAATGGGATTTTCCTTATTGCAACTGCATCACACTAATTTTTGTTCACTTTATGATACACACTAGATGCAGCTTGTTCCTCTTTATTATTCTGCCTAGCTAGTTACTTAATGTGTTCTGGTTTTGTGTTTTCCTAAATGTAGCAATTTGAGCTTTCCTATATTGAATTTAATTTGCTAGATTTTATATTTAAGTATGCGTTCCAACTAGTCACGATGACTTAAAGCTTTATTCTTGTTCTTAAAAGTGTTTTTCAGCCTCTCATATTGATATTAAAAGGCTTATAGCATACTTCTAGGAGTTTTTCAGGCACCAAATTGCTGATGTAAATAAGAAATTATTTTGAAGACTTGATTGATAAAGACTCTTGAAGTGAATGTTGAACTGTGGATGTCTAGCTGCATGTAGTATTTTGCTTAGCTGTATGTATGGTAGTGTAATCTGAATAAATTCTGTAATTTAATCAGCAAACACAGTGGCTTTCAGTTTCACCTGCCATGCCACTGGTTGCTGATCACGTTCCAGTTCCATAACTGGGAGACACTTCTGTCCTTACCTGTTTATTCTCTTTTTCCTGGCGTTTTTAGACAGGAATCCAAGGGGTTAGATTTCTGAGTAGTTTTGGTTCCCTGGTGGCACTGTGGCCATTCCTTGGTGGGATGTCCTTGGTCTGACAGGATAAGTTTCCTTGGCAATTGCAGGTTCTGAGCCCACGGACTGACATTGGTGTTTACGGGAGCAGTAAGAACAGGCGGAAGAGGGCAAAGGAGTTGATGGAGAAGGAAAAGGAGAAAGATCTTGACTTGGAATCCCTGAGTGAACTGGAGGATGGGCTGGAGGAGGCCAGGGATGCTGCAGCTGTGGTAAGGAGCAGTGAAATGTGGTATCTCCTGCTGTGTGGGCTTCAGTCATCTCTAATTTGTAGAAGTTCTGGGGAAGAACTGGTGAATGAATTTCACTGGAAAAGATGCCTCATAACATGGTGTTTGACCCAAGAATGTAGTTCAACTTCCATTGCAGTGAAGGTAGAGGGCAGCACAGTTCAGAGTGCAGCTGCTGGTATTTAATACCATTGGGTATGTGTAAGACTTCAGTGCTCTTGGGTTAGTATCTGTGGCTGCTCATCTAATATTAACATTTATTGAAATTATGTTGAAGTCACGAAGTGCAGCTTTGCTCTAACCAGGACCAACACATATTTGGTTAGGTCAGTTTTGCGATCAGCCTGCAAATACTTGGTCATGGGCACTGGGCTGCAGGGAATGTTTTATTTAGTTCCTCTTTTTTGGAGGATATTCATGCTGCTTATCAGAAGAATTCGGTGTCACCTGGCTGCCCTTTCCCTGGGAACAAAGAAAATGTGTGCAGGGTCATTAATATGGCTAGTACACAATCTATTTTACTGCAATATGTTTGGTTATAGTTACCTGAATGGGAACATTAAGGAAGTGCAAGTTGCTGCAGAAGGTTTGTGGTCACTCAGATGGTTCTGAAACGATGCTCAGCTCCATTGTCTTGCTAAAGAGATGAGTGGAAGAGATTCTGAGTTCTCTGGAGTCAGAACCTGTTCTTCTGGGGGGCCTTATGACAGATTTAACTGTGAACTTGAGAAACTTTGTAGATACTGAGAAGGTTATCTGAAGTTTACATAGCATCTCTATCAGAAGGACTCTAGGGAGTAGTGAGCAACTGAGGAGGAGGTGTCTTAGATGAAGTTTTGATTAGATCACATAGTTCCTAAATTTTGGGCCAGTTTTAGATCACTTGGTCTGTTTGGGCTGGCTGTTTTTTCCTTTTCCTGTGTTGCTAATAGAACGAAGTCTCTCTCAGCTGTGAAGGTGATGACGTGTTTGTGTCCTTGCTGGGCAGGTGGCTGTATTCAAGGAGCGGGAGCAGAAGGAAATTGAAGCCATGCATGCTCTCAGGGCAGCCAACCTGGCCAAGATGACCATGGTGGACAGAATCGAAGAGGTCAAGTTCTGTATCTGCCGCAAGACGGCCAGCGGGTTCATGCTGCAGTGCGAGCTGTGCAAGGACTGGTTTCACAGCGGCTGCGTGCCCCTGCCCAAAACCAGCTCCCAGAAGAAGGGCTCCAGCTGGCAGGCCAAGGAGGTGAAGTTCCTGTGTCCCCTGTGCCAGCGCTCGCGCCGGCCGCGGCTGGAGACCATCCTGTCCCTGCTGGTGTCCCTGCAGAAGCTGCCCGTGCGCCTGCCCGAGGGGGAGGCCCTGCAGTGCCTGACAGAGCGAGCCATGAGCTGGCAGGACCGGGCTCGGCAGGCCCTGGCCACCGACGAGCTGTCCTCCGCCTTGGCCAAGCTGTCGGTGCTCAGCCAGCGCATGGTGGAGCAGGCAGCTCGCGAGAAAACAGAGAAAATCATCAGCGCGGAGCTGCAGAAGGCAGCAGCTAACCCCGACCTGCAGGTAGGCGTGGGAACAGCTCGCTGCTCCCTGCGCTTGCCCCAGCTTAGGGTGGCAGGATTTTTCTTGGAGAAGCATGAGGAGAAGGGAGGGCAGTGAACAGCTGAGGATCACACATGGTAGAACTTCTCACCCAGTTCAGTGCTCTGCAGGTTTTGGAACAGCTCTGTTGCTCTGTACTCGCTGTCAGTAGCAACTGCTGAAGGTGCTTGTAACATCAGGTCAGCTCTAACAGCTAGCTACAGGCCTCAAGATGTACAAAACAGTTGCTGCTTTGGTGTCCAAGTTCCATTTTCCTCTTGACAGAATCCAAGGTCTCAGTATTTACATTTCTTGTGGATTGTCACTCCCAGTCATTTGGTGTCTTGTTAGTACATTCCAGCGAGGAATGCAGTCAAGCACTGATAATTCCATAGCTCTTCACCTTGAGAGTGAGGCCAGGTCATGCTGTGGTGAGGAAGCTGTGCTTTATAGCACTGAAGAGCAGTATCTGGCTCTTCCTAGTCACTAGTCATTATTAAAAAACAGGTAATCAGAATCAAATGAAACCTTTTGCTTGGATATTTCCTTATCTTTTTTCTACATCTTGCTACAACTGGTCTCTTTTGTGGTGTCCAGGCAGTTATCCTCAGGCCAAAAGAACCACTATTTTCTTTGTTAATAACTCTTTAGGTTTTTACAGATTTTTCCTGGAGATTTTATTGTTTCACTTCCATGTTCCATTTCTTTTTTAGGGACACTTAACAAGTTTTCAGCAGTCAGCCTTTAACAGAGTGATAGGGAGTGTGTCCTCATCCCCACGGCAGACTTTGGATTATGATGATGAAGAGACAGACTCCGATGAAGACATCAGGGAGACATATGGCTATGACATAAAGGTGAGTAATCCAGAGTGGTTTGTTTGCATGGAATTAATACAGATTACCTGTCTTCTATTAATCCATTTTTATCAGAATATTTATTGCATCTTAAGCTGTCTGTGTATATTCTGCCCTAGGGCCTGTGGCAGAAGAGATATTTCTTGATTTTTATCCGAATGTCCTCATTTTCTGAGCTATTGTGAAGTTTTGCAATGTTTTATGCAAAATTTCCAAAGTCCTGTTTGAATTTCAAAATTCAAATTCTGCCTTTTAGTGCAGAGGAGAAAGATACACTTCCAAAGGCATTTGCATTTCTAACACCCTGGAGGATGAGCATTGTCCTTATGCCCCATTCAGAGATACCACGAGTCATAAATATCTGTATGGAGAGCTCTTGGGAAGTTTTTGCCACAGCAAAAAGATTAGCCTTCAGAAAGTGCTTGCTGTGTAAGAAGTTTCCTGATGCCAGAGCTTTGTTCATGTTTTCATACCTTTCTCTTCATTCAGCCCTTGCATAAAGGAGGTACATGTGTTCCATTTTGGAGTGTGGAATTTTTAGATACAAGATGTCTGCACTGTGTTGTAAAATTAGTGTCTGGATTCGGTACAGCAATTGTAACCACAGTTAAATTTTTGAAGGATTTTATCTAGAGAGGAACTTCCATGGGAAAAGGCAGTTGTAGAGAAAACCATGTGTTTTCAAGGTATTGAAATGTCCTTTGGAAATACGTAGAGACAAAGGCAATGCCAGTTTCTTCTTGAGCAGTGTTTTCTTTTTAGTGATAATGTCGCCTCTGCATTAAAAGGTGCTGTCCTAAGAGACATGTAAATTCTTCTAAGGCAGATATTCTGATTTATAGAGGGGCAGCACATTCTCCAGGTATGATTTTCCGTAATCTGTTTTTAAGTGTTTTGTTTCCCAGCAGCCTGATGCAAATACACAGATTTGTCTTACAGGTCCTGTGAAATGCCAAGAGTACATGGCTGTTGGGTGCTACAGCTTTTAATTCATTTAGTTTTATATCTAAAAGTAAGTCCCAAAACTGTTTTTTGCATCAGGTGTCTTAATAAGGCATTTCTGAAGGATGTGGCATTTTCTGAGGCTGTGATAAAACATATGTCAAGAAAGATGGCATATGCTTGCCAGGAGCTCAGGGTTTTGCAGGAGCATAATTTAATTTGTTTGATGATTCTGTTGTCATCATTTAAAGATCTTATTTCCCCCTTTTGATTTGGATGTTCATCTGATGTAATTGTAGAAACCTAAAAGTAAAAACCTGTTTAAGCAAAGCTGTTAGAGACCAGAAATACATTCTGTTAGGTCAACTAATGCAATTGGAATAGAAGACAAATTTTCAGGCAACCATAATCAAATTCTTCAGGTATAAGCTAGGAGAAGCAAGATTTAAAAAAAAAAAAACAACCAAAAAAAACCCCAAACAAACCCAAAGTTGTTCAGAATTCAATTATTCTTATACTGTTGACTTTCAAGTGTCGGCTGTCTTCAGTTTTTGGTACAGAGACATGTTTGAGTGTGTTTAAAAAAAGATACAGATCATTATGCATCTTGTATGAATTTGCTCTTGTTGTGGACCCTGTAGGAATAATCCTCAATTCCTCAGGGTTCATAGACTGTATTTTGAAAACCACAGTCTCTGGTTTCTCAAGAGCTCAGTTGTTACAGAAGTAGATACGAAAATGTAATCTGTTTGATTATGTTATATGTCTCTTAATTAAAGCATGGCTCTTGCCAGTAAATCTGCATTTAGGAGTGCAATAGCTAGATTTTTTGGAGGATTTGTTCCAAGTAGACACATTCATTGGTCAAATCACCTATAATTTGTTTTTTGTCTTGTATTTTTTCTCATTTCTTTGCACCGGGTATTGCCTGTGGCCACTAATGATGATTTTTTAAAAATCAATTTACATGTTAGCCCTGAACTTCCTTTAATGTAGTACAATAAAATACCTGTAACAGGATATTGTTCAAGATATAAACTCTTTACAGTGTAGGGAGAAATACCTTCCTCTTTCTGAGTGTGTTTATTCTGCCTTTTCATCTGGGATATTTCATTTTGGATTTCCCACTGGCAGTTCTGTACGGAAATCATTCATTTGTGTATCACTTTCTTTGAAATGTGCAACTGAAGGCCACAGAGAGAGAGAGAGAGAGAGAGAGAGAGATTGTCATTTCATGACATAAAAAGAGAGTTTAAGAATGGTGGTGTCTTGCCCAGAACCTTATGCTGTTCAGTGTCTCACTCAACACACTGAGCTGAGCACAAGCCAGTGCCATCGTCACTCTGCTCATGGGAATAGTCACAACAGCCCTCTTTCAGTGTTTGGTCCCAGCTTAAACTGATTTAACACTACCATAAATGCACTGATCCCAGGGCAGTGTTTGATTGTCATTATATTGATATTTGCTGCTGGGCTGGAATGCCCTCTTTTTTCTTTCTGTAGTCACTGTAATTTACTCAGCATTCCCCCGCTTTACTGAAGATACAAGGCTTTATGGGCTCACAGTCAGACTTTTCAAGCAAAATAATAAATTATGTAGGCTAAGAGAAAGCCTCTTTTCATCATGTTGACTTCTGAAGACCATTCTTAAGGGACTGCTGAGCGAGGAAACTTGGCAAGTGTTTTTCATGCACTAGCTGTAAATATACTGACCTGTCTCCATAATTCCTCTATTCATCCACCATTTAAGCAGGGATAGAATTTTTACCTTTGGTCTTGGTATCTCTGATGGAGTGCTTTGGAGAAGGGCTTTAGGAGCAGCAGACTGCTCAGTCTTCAGTAGAATTTACTTTGAAGTAGGTATTTGCTGAATTCAGATGTTGCATGTTTGCTGTGGGTCTTTTTCAGGACAATGCCAGTGTGAAGTCTTCCAGCAGCCTGGAGCCCAATTTATTTTGTGATGAGGAAATCCCCATTAAATCAGAGGAGGTGGTGACACACATGTGGACTGCTCCCTCATTCTGTGCTGAGCACGCCTATTCCTCTGCTTCTAAAAGCTGCTCTCAAGGTATTTGCTTTTGTATACATTGAGGTAAAATTAAGTAGATAACAGGGATGGGCAGTCAGTGAGGTGTGGAACTGCTAACTGCTCTGTTGTTCATTCTGGTTGTGCAGGATGTACTGTCTGGAGGAAGGTACAGCAGAGTTACATTGCAGTTCATTTCCTGATATTTGATACATAAACCTGTGACAATGTGTTCTGGTTGTTACTGTTTCCCATCTTAAAATGTTGTAAAAAATACCTATTTTCTTTCGGTTTTGATCTCTTCCTTTTATCTTTGTGGCTTTGCCTGGGGGTGGTTTAGATTAGGTATTGGGGAAGATTTCTTCACTGCAAGAGTGATCAGGCATTGGAACAGGCTGCCTGGGAAAGTGGTGGACTCACTGTCCCTGGAAGTGTTCAAAAGATGTGTGGGTGTGGCACCTGGGGACATGGTTTAGTGGTAGGCTTGGCACAGATTTGATAATCTCAGAGGTCTTTTCCAGCCTTAATGATTCTGTGTCCTGGCTCCTGTCTGAAAGCTTCTAGCACTCCAAGGAAGCAGCCTCGGAAGAGCCCGCTGGTGCCTCGCAGTTTGGAGCCCCCTGTGTTGGAGCTGTCACCTGGAGCAAAAGCTCAGCTGGAAGATCTGATGATGGTTGGAGATCTCCTGGAGGTATCCCTGGATGAAACTCAGCACATCTGGAGGATTTTGCAGGCCACTCATCCACCCTCTGAGGACAGGTTTCTTCATGTCATGGAGGTAGGGAACTTGAAGAAATATCCTGGAGTGGAACAAAAATCCCACCACATTCTGTTGGTGGATTTATATAAACATGATCTGGAATAGTTGAGTGCTCAGTTGCTTGTCATGTTTGGATTTTATCTGGAGAGAGTAGTAGATTACAGAAAATAACAGAATAAGTGATCCAGAAATTCAGTTCTCGATCACTCGTGCTAACCATATTTAGAACAGTTTTCTCAAGTAGTTCCATGTGTAAACCTTATTTTAGAGCATAACAGGTTAAGGGAGAAAACACTCTTCTTGATTATGTCTGGAAGCAGAGCTAATCTGCAAAACAGTTACAAGAAGCATTTAGGAAGATGAAAAGTTACACTTAGTTTATGTAACATGATACTTTTATGTTACTGAACTTTGTTACTGGGGAAAACATGTTTTGAAAATGAAGACAGTAATATTCCTGTTCTTCCTCAGAATAACGTAGACATAGCAAATGTTTTATTGGTGTACTGTGAAGATGTCCTGCTTGCTTTGCCCAGCTGCCAGCATCAGGCAGGTTTATCTGCTGATTCTGAGGTCTAGCCAAAATCACTGAGCTCCATTGATGCAGAGGGCCAGGGAAGGTGCTGGAAGAGCAGGTCAGCTGCTGGGTTGAAGAGCTTGAGTGGAACCCATTTTTTATCATCTGTCAGCTGCAGTTAGGGCTCAGTTTGAGCGTGTGGGTTTTACGATGGCTTGTTGGGTTTCTGAGCTGCACAGGAAGAACATAAGGTGATGGTTCTTTCTTGGCTTTTTGGTGGTGTACAGTCATGCAGGATGGAAGGCTGCATGCTGTGAGCAGCGAGGTTGGGTGAGCTCTGTGCCATCCATGCACAATGGATGAGTTAAAGTGTAAAGCTGCATCAGTGTGGAGTGTAGAACTGCCCCTGCCTCCCAGCTACTGAAAGGTGCTTCACCACCTTCCAGCCCAAGTACTACGTAAGCTTAATGTTCTTTTGATGTAATGGTGTTGGCAGGGAGTTGGTTGAAGAACAGTTTGGATGCCAGCAAATAACAATTTATAAATAATATGCCAGACTGTTATATTTATAGATAAGCAAAGCTTTTTTCCAGGGGAGTGGGGTGAGGAGTGTAGAGTGTGTGTGCATTACAACGTTTTCTGGTTAACCTTTCTGAATGCTTGCTTGACCAGAACTGCTCATTTTGAATTGAATATATTCCATGGCTGTTTACATACAAAATAAGTAGCCTTCTGTGAAATAATCTTGAGAGGATTTGGTTTTGGGTGGAGTAGCTATATTCAGTAATGTACAGTAAACAGTCTCTACTGGCTTATAGAATGTTCTTAATCTATTAATAATTAAGGTTAAAGTATATAGCTGCATTGACTGAAATCCAGTCAGTCCTGTTTGTACAAAGGACTACACAAGTGAATCTTTCAGTTGTGAGTGGGACTTGTCACTGTGAATGCTACCTGCAGGGACAGAGCTGGCCAGTTTTAGGCCCCACTTGTGACCTGAATCTGTTATTCAGGAGCTCTCGATGGCGCCAGGATATTTACAATGCCTGCCACTTTGGAAGCCCTTCAAATAACGGATGTTGCTTTCTCTCCTTGCTTGAGTTGATGATACATTTTAAGAGTTCACCAATTACTCTTCCTTAATCTCCAAAACAGCAGTTGCTTTCTCTCAAAAATAATTACAGGCAAGACTGACCTCGGATGAAAAATAAGCAAGAGCATCTAACAAATTACTAATCTTCTCAACTTCTATTAAAAAAACAATGTGAGAAGAGATTTGTAATTATTGCTCACTTTGCCTTCATACCCTTGCTAATAATTTACTTTTTCCACGGAGTGTTTTTGGGTGATTGTACTTTGACACAGTTGATAACACTTAGGAATTTTTTATAGTATGGTGGAAATGAAGTTAAGTGGGGTTTTTTTGTTTAGAATTTGTAACAGTATGTTGTTGGCTAGATTTCTTCATGTCATATCAGGTAAAGGTAGAGGTAAGTGCATTTCTCAGACCTCAGGTTTGCAGGAAATTCGTATTTGAGTAAAATATTTCTTTTTCTATGAAGGATGACAGCATGGATGAAAAACCACTGAAAATGAGAGGGAGGGACTCTTCTGAGAGGAAGCGGAAACGAAAACTGGAGAGAGCAGAGCAGTTCTTTGGAGACATGAAGCAGAAATCTAAAGAGCTGAAAAAGCTGGAAAAACCCAAGAAGAAGAAGCTGAAACTCACCATGGACAAGACAAAAGAGCTGAACAAGCTGGCAAAGAAACTGGCTAAGGAGGAGGAGCGGAAGAAGAAGCAGCGAGAGAAGGCAGTTGTGGCAAAGGTAGAACTGGCAAAGGAGAGCACAGAGAAAAAAAGAGAGAAGAAGGTTCTGGATATTCCTTCCAAGTATGACTGGTCAGGAGCAGAGGAGTCGGATGATGAGAACGCTGTGTGTGCTGCTCAGAACTGCCAAAGGCCCTGCAAGGACAAAGTGAGTTTCCCCTTGGTTCTGGCACCGGCAGTTCCGTGCTCAGTCAGAGCCCCTGTGCCAGGTGACAGCATGAGAAACCAAAGTGGTGTGGTTAGAAAGGAGAGAGGACTGAGTAGTACTTGGGTAGGTACATTTAGCAGATTAAACTGTAGAACTTCCACATTCTCTTAGGTACTCAAAACAGAAGATGGAAAATCAGAATCTGGGAAAAGGTACTCGGTTTTGGTTGGGAAGTTTTAACTCCTTCAAGCTGTGTAATTTTTTGTTGAGTATGTGCAACATGCACTGGCTGAGCCAAAGGATTAATTCTTTGACTCAGAAAGAAATGTTCCTGGCTTTGCTGTGGTCCTGACCACTGGTACTGAGTGTCCTCCCACACGTTAGGAACATGTGTAATGTTCTTAGAAGAAGTAGATTTTCTCTATTTCTTGCATGTACTCTGTGAAAAGTGATGCTGCAAGCTGAGTGATCTTCAGAATTCAGTGGTTCATTTTGCTTGTTGGAGATAAATAATCAATTCTTTTAGACCTGATGGGATTATTAGAAATGAAACTTGATCTGCCTCTCTCTGTGGTACTGCCTGTCATGATTGTCAGCTTTTAACACAGACTGATGAACAAAAATATTTTCAGAATGTGTTTTCTGTACACATCTGTACTTTTGCACTTTGAGCAGGTGAATGCCACACTTGTCAAAAACTGGCAAGTACAGGAATGTAATGACTGAAGCTGCAGCTGTTGATGTCCATTACCAATCACTTTGGAAAATTTGTCCAGGAGTCGTTGGCTACAAACTAAAATAAAATCTGTTATGGTGATAATGTTACTTCATTTTATATAGGTGGCCACTACTGTTGTTTTTCTGATACAGTTTTACATTCCCCTGTAAATGGAAAGCAGAACTACAATATTAACAAATTTTATAGCTGTACCAGTGGATGCCATTAAAATGGAGAATCCGTGTTTCTTATCCTGCAAATCTGAATTTCTGCCCACTGACTCCAATTAACTTTTATTCAAAGAATTACAGGAATCAAATAATTCATTTTTTTCCTTCCTACATTCCAGCTCATTTTTTTGTCTTTTCCAAATTGTCCCACAGCGAGTTCAGCTCAAAGTTTATATTGTAGCATGAATGTTCTGAGCCTTAGGACTTAGATTTACAAAAGCCACTGTTTGATAATGCAGTCTAAGAGGGTGTGTTTGGAGACTCTCATCTGTCCTGAAATAACCATCCTTGAGCACTTTAAATGTGTTTTAGCACACCTCATTTCATTTGTGGAGAGCTGAGTCATCTTCCTCAGGAGCAGTAGAGAGTTTTTGTATCGTTGCAGTGTAAGAGGGGCAAGGTTTGTTGGAAGTTTTTATAAACTGAAGTAGCTTTTTTAAACAAGCTCTATAGGGGCATTAATTTTTGCCCCAGAGCTTTTGTATTCTTGGTAGCTGAGGTGTGTTTAAGAGGAGGTGTTTCTCTGTTTGTGTCTGTCTGTCCTCCCCTGTAACAGGCTGAGTGTTGCTGATTGCTCTCTTGCAGGTGGACTGGGTGCAGTGTGACGGGGGCTGCGATGAGTGGTTCCACCAGGTGTGTGTCGGGGTCTCCCCAGAGATGGCTGAGAATGAGGATTACATCTGTATAAACTGTGCAAAGAAACCCCTGCAGGGACCCAGCAGCCCTGCCCACGCCCCACCTCCTCCCTTCTTGTTGAGCTACAAACTACCAATGGAAGATCTCAAGGAGGCGAGTTAGCAGCTGCTCGATGCCCTGAACTTGTGGGGAAATGGACCACTGGAACCCTTCAGGAGGAGAGGGTTTGAAGCTGATGTAGCCCCTGAGCTTCTCTTGCCAGGACGGACAGATGTGCAGCGGAGTTGGCCCGTTCCTTACAGCTGGCTTCCTTGGGACAGCGGGAGCGCCTCTGGCACACAGACACTGCCTGCTCTGGCACACAGACACTGCCTGCTCTGGCACACAGACACCGCCTGCTCTGGCACACAGACACCCCCTGCTCTGGCACACAGACACCCCCTGCTCTGGCACACAGACACCCCCTGCTCTGGCACACAGACACCCCCTGC